CACTCTGTTATTAATAATGGCTTATTTAAATAATTTCAGGTCATTAAATGTAAATGTAAAAAAACAAAGTAAGTATTTGAAGTTAATACTGCTGTGATAAATCAATCAATTGTAAATAATAATCATGTGAGAAGTAGACTTCACTGAGAGTCTGAGTATAGTATTATAGGCCATTGTCTGGCCATGTGTTTCTCAATATTTAAACTACAAATTCAGCTAACTATAACATACTGTATAAAATATAACAGCCTTCGAAATATATATTTCATAGAGCTGGTCAATAACAAATAATTAAAGGCAACCGCATTGCGATATTCGCCAGAGTGCACGTGCACGTGTTAACTCATGGGAATCTGCTAAATAATTTGTAACAAAATACTTTTAGACATTTTCAAATTCATACTGTACCTTCTTACTTGATGGAAATCATCACAAATAGTACGTACGAGGTTGCAATTGTCTCCATAATTGTCCTTCGAATGCCGAAACATCGCCTCCTCGGTGATTTATATGATGCGATATAAAAGAAGATTGACGTACATTCGACGTAATATATAAACGTAACACATTAAAAAGAAAGATTACAACAAAAAATAAAAGAATATAAATAATCCACGGCAATTCAAGTTCTATTCGTGAACTTTTCGTCGCCCCCCTGTCTTTATTTCCATAAAGCCCGCTCGCAGGCTAATACTCCAAGAATCTTGGAGTATTTGCCTGACACGTGACCAGTGTTTACCAGGGCCATGTCGCTTGCCTTCAACTCACGACTGGCCCTGGGTACGAGGTTGTGTGGGAATGGGAAAGATGACAACGAAACCGAAGTACCCGATGATTCATCTCAAATCAGCGCCGTTGAGGATGACTTGGATTTGCCACCCTTTAGAATATGATGTTTTATCGCAAAAAATAAACAGTTCCTTCTTTCTCATCCGTGATGTCTATATAAAGATTATTACATGAAAGGTCCCTGCTGGTGTGGTGAACGTTTTCGGTTTCGTGGCGATGTAATGAACAGTCCCATCCATTTTATGCCATAGTGATCTCTATACTTACATGAACCGATTTTCCTTTTTCTACTTTTGGGGATTTTTAAAAATAATACATATTACATAAACATATCCTAATAGTGAACATGCCTGTGTACCATCGCGCGTGCATATTCGCGCTTCTTGATTACTTGAGAAATTGAAAGAAATTATAAACGATATGATTAAAAGAATATATATTATTTACGAAATTTTCCAGTACGCCTTAAATTTTCGACAATTAGCGTGTTTATTCAATTTTGCAAATGTTACCCGATTAAAAATAACGTTAAATTACATGAAGTATCCTGTCACAGGGGCCAAAATAACATGAAGTATCTAAGTGGAGCCTTGTAATCCAAGATGGCGGACGGTTTTTGTTTATACCGAAAAGTCGCGTGAATTTGATGATTTTGCAAAGGAAATTTTTGAACAAATTTGTGTATTTACTCTTAGTATATATTCTTGCACCTATTGACCGAGTTTTGATTGGTTTCATGATTCAGGAACGAATTTCAATTTCTAAGCTGTTTACAAATTTCGCCCCATGGTCTATCTGCTATTACACATGAATTAATGAAATAAAAAAATAACACACCGTTTGACTCTGTTGGTTTGAAAAACTTGTCAAGATCAACAACTTTGGTTGATTGCACAAGTTTCCTTGCATCCATGGCTATCTGGATAATGGACACAGCCCTGTGTCCCCCACAAGTTCTTAACGAGTTCCATTCACCATCAGTAACAAACCCTCTGATCAAAATGAACAACAATAAATGCGGAACGAGCTAGCATGCAAGCAATGATCGCAGACACTGCAGATTAGCGCAATCAAAATTTATATAATTATATTATATAAATATATAAACTTACCAACAACTATCATCCCCAACTCTTCCATTGCATCGACCAATTGATCTCTCAAATGTCGCATATCGTTATCCGTAACCGTGGTAACTGGTAAGACCCGAACTGGAATGGCATATGGTTTAAATTCCCTGTGTTCATCAGCTATCATAAACACCATTAAGTGACTAGCAGGTTCACGCTTTCGGAAGTACAGCTGCATAGCTTGTCACGCAAATTGTTCCAACTGCTGACAGTCGTAAGGTTTTGGTCTTCTTGCACCAAGCAGATCTTTGAAATCAACTTGCCATTCATCTTTACCAGCTCTGAGTAACCGGTGACATCCCAAGAAAGGGCCACAAGATTGTCCTAAGAAACGTTTCCGCTATCAACCTTCTTGTTGTAAATCTCAGTTGCATTCTTTATGCCCTTTTGTAGGAATGGAACATCGCATTCAAGGTCCTTCTTGACATTAAGCAGAGTTTTGAGGACGTTGTCACTTCCAACTTGCAAATTCTTGACCCTCTTTTCCTTAGTCCTATATTCATCATGTATCTTTTTTACTTCACCATCCCCTGTATCTTTATCTCCAGACCATTCACCACGCAACGACTCACATAATCCTTTTCTCAAATCACATGCATCAGCCTTGATCCACCAACGGCCTTTGGGACTCCTCTCGTGGGCTTCTTTCAAAAGCTTTTTTTTAATGATAGTGCTTCTTGAGAATCCTTTTTTCTGAACCATTCTCTTCAGATGTCTGACACCAGCAATGTTGATCTTAGCCTATTAACAAATTAATCATAATCATTTTACTAACGTTTCCATTATGGTTGTCACTGTCATAAAGATATGGTCACAATCTCTTTAACGGCCAGATTATATTTTCATATAGGGGTCAGTTGTTCGAATGTTGGATAGTGCAATTCACTGCATAGTGGTTTTTTGAAACTTTCATAAAACTAGGCAAAAAACGATATTTTGTTTTCCCACCAAAACAAAGTTGACAGTCTTCAATCTATAAATATCAAACCTACTTGTATGTTATAATGATCGATCAGTGGGGAGTTTTATGAAGGTTTCAAAAAATCACTATCCAGTGGATGGCACTATCCACCTTTTGAACAACCAGTCCTTGATCCACTAAACCAAACTTCAAAAAACCATGTTGGTTGGTGAGAATAATCACAACAATCTTTACAACAAATTATAATATAGCATTTGTAAATTCTGAATGCTGATTGGCTAAGAAGAGCTGTGTTGATATAACTCAATGTCAACACGGAAACTTCGGAAAATTCCTTTATATTTCTTTGTGCTATATTTTAAAACAAATATAAAACTTTTTTCCATATTGATATATAGTTATATCAACACTCGTGGAAATTGGGAAAACTCAAAATTGTGTGAAAACACTCCGCCCTTCAGGCGTAGTGTTTCCACACAATTTCTCGTTTTCCCAATTTCCACGTTTTTCGTGTTGAAACTGGGTGCAAGTTATGTGCTTATACATAATTGGAAAGCTATCATTATTACCTTGTAGGGGCAATAAATGTGCTTGTTTAATTTTCTTCTATGTCGTGTTGGTCGAACTTTAAAATACTTTTCCACTTCTTCAGGCTTGTCTACTGCATATGCTAGCTCCTCATTTCGTTCAGCAACATTGCCACTCCACAACGACATATCAGTTTGGGCAACATCTGTTGTTAGTGCTACGTTACTAATGCCCTCTGTTAGTGCACAAATGTCAGGATCACAAACCGTATCAGCTTCACTGTCTTCTGCTTGAAGGTCTATTTCGCAGTCTTCCAGAGCTAGTTGAATCAAGTCAACATTCTCTGAACTTTGATATTCTGATCCTGTCTCGAATGAAGAATTCAAACTGTCAGCAGGTACATTATCATTACCATCGGTTGCTGGCTCACAGTCACTGCCACTATCATCTTGATCGTACTGCCATGCTGGACCTCGGTGCAGGCAAGCCCACTTGTGACCAAACTGAGCGTACATGGTGGTTTGCCACTCCAAGTAATCATTCTCCATCTTAATATTTGCTGTATGATCAGAAGCGAAAAACTGTAGATTATATGATATAAGCCCAAATGGCATTTGCTTAACATTCATCCTGGATTTACCATTAATTTCCTCACCAAAGCATTTACTCATAGCAAGAAACAAGTTTTTCTTATTGTTTTCTTTCAACAAATTCATCCCTTTAACAGCCAAATGTAAGAAATCTTTCGTCATGTTATAGTAAATGTCAGTTCCATAATGCTGAGTAATCCATATCTGTACAAGCTGATTTATCATCTGCTCTTGCATTCTCTTTGTGAGTTTGCATTTGAAGGCTGAGATAAGTTCTTGCATGATATCTCCTTGTGACTTATTTACATTTTGCCAGCCATCATTTTGGGTTGAACATTCTGTTAAAAGTGACTTGGAATGAAAATAATCGATGTCATAAAAGTTCTCTGCATCAGTTACAGTTGAAAATTCTTTTGCCAAGTACTTTAGTGTTTTTGTTCGGATAGCTGCCCCTTAAAAGATATTAATAAATTAATATTTAGAAAATTATGGCCAAAAATATCTCTGAGGTAGTTAGTATACATGTCCACTTTCACAATGAGATTACTGGAGATTGTGTTTGTAGATTTTTTGTTCATCGATTTGTTTGTAAGCAGGATATTAGTTTATGGAATATACCTCTCAGTTGTGTATCTAGTTTTAATTGATATATGATGGATTTTGTGATGGTGACATCTTAAAGATTTTACAAAAAGAACATCGGTATATTCGTTCAATGAATCACTCACAAATGCACAAGATTAAAATCTAATTATTTGCAGTATTTAGTTTGCGTGTTCTTACACAATTCACAACTTTAGCATATGCAGTACCTCTCCCATTAAATTTACATTGTTAATATAGTCACCGTGTTAATACGCCATTTTTTTTGGCCTGTTGGTGACCATATTAACAAGGTTCCAATGTACTCTATGAACAATATACAAGGTACCTGTCCGCAATGGTTGGCCAGAGTACTGATGTACAGCTTTTGCACATTGTTCCCAGAATGCACCATCTCTAATTGCTGGCCAATGGTCATGTTCAAAACTTGGTTTGTATAAAGCAATATATTGTACAATTGCTTCCAATTCTTCATTTTTCCAGTTTGCTGCTTTCACAAAATGAGCTACCAGTGTCTCTGTTGGCAATACATCTTGATTCTTGAATAAAGACCTTCTCCGAGGCAGAGGTTTATTCCCAGATTCATCTTCAGTAACTCAAACGTATTTAGGGTTTGATTTCCCTGGAGTGTCTCCTTTTGCTATATGAGCCCTCTTAACAATAGAGTCAGTTTCATCCTCCATACTGGCACCAGTGTTTATACATTCAGTTTACTATTCCACTGTGAGGGCCACCTAAAATCCAAAACATGAAGTACTATGTATTATTTATGAAATACATCAAAATGTGAAAAGGCAATTCGCGGGCTAACACGCTTTTAAAATTATCTATAATTATTGTTTCATTGGGACATCACTGGACATGCTATGATGAACCAATATCAACTAATTGTGCAATTTCTGAAAAATAACACATGTTCAGATCAGTTTTTCAAATAGAATTAGTGGAGTGCAATGGAGTGCCTTTAAATATTTATACAAATAAACTCATCATCCTTAAAACAGACAAACATGACTAAGCCGCTTAATGTTACTACACATATAAAAGGGCACAACAAATTTACCTTCGAGCGATGCCTTCCACCATATTCCACAGGGTAGCATGTGTGAATCTTTGCGAATTAACTCTCGTTGTCGTTGTTTGTTGACGAAAAACTTATAACAAGGTCAGTACGATTATACAAGGTAAACATCAGTTGAATTTAGCCGCTAATAAAGTTAGTTTAAACATCGAAAATTTGATATCTTTCCACCAGGACCATTTTTCGGCATGTAATTTTGCAATTCCCTTGACCGCGCGATATAAACACTGAAATTGGTTGGCCTGGGTCCCGGAGCACACACCATCGAGCGTCCCCATCTGTGATGCGGGCTTCGCGGGGGGTAAGACGTTCTAATTGTAAACAAATATGGCTACGTGTATATGACCCATCAGAAGGTATGTTGAAACTATTGCTTTATAAAATATTACTTGTGTCAAATTTATATGTTTTTGTTACTTTTAGCTATTATAAGAAACTTAAAGATAAGATTTAAGTAACGAAAAACTTTATTTCGGGTGTTATTTTCCCTGAGCCGTGCGAGGGTACTAATTCCCCCCGGCTATTTACACCCGGGGAAACGAAAGCATTAGCAAAGTCTAAAGTTCATCAATGAGCGCGGGCATCGGTCACCAACGATGGGTGGTCATCCTCACTGATCTCAAAAATATGGCAGACTGTCATGAATAATGGACACTGATTGGTCCAATTTAAAGTTTGCATTATAACAGCTGCATGACGACAGCAAAATAGCAAACATTTCTTGATTTGATGAGTTGATGATTGATAAATTTCTTGCAAATATTCTTCATTTTTGCTCGTATTTCTGCAAGATTTTGTAAATTTCAAGAAAGAAAGGGCGAAAGAATCAGCTAAAAGAAGGGAGCCGACGTTAACGAAGGTAAGTTTGTTTTAAATATGGATTTTATAATGGCTTTAAAACCCGACGGCCTTTGCGTGTATGAAACAACTAAACAAGACAGCATATAATTTCAGTGTATCTTTAATAGTGATTCCCTTTTTTATTATATTGAATTTTTTAAATAAAAAATAAAGCAAACTTATTTGCAAGCGAGAATTTGAAATCATTTTATTGCAAACTCAAAGTTTATCGATAAAGCCATTTAATAGTTAAAGGCAGTTTAGTTTTATCATGGTTTTATAAAGAACACTTTAAAACGTTTTGTGAATTGTTTGTGGTTAAATTTTACCTTAAATTGAAGCTTGTATTACGTATAATTACATACCTAACATAAATATGTTGGGAAATTGATAATTTTGTAATTAAAACATAGGCTGCCCAAAAGTGCGTGTTGTAATTTTTACCCTCGCGCGTGGCGCTCGGGCGTGCATCGAGTCTACTCAGTTTATTATTATGTCATAATAATAAACTGAGTAGACTCGATGCACGCCCGAGCGCCACGCGCGAGGGTAAAAATTACAACACGCACTTTTGGGCAGCCTATGATTAAAAGTGATATTTTTAGGCGATTTTCATTTGTAAGAATATTCTTAAAAAATTATCGTGTTACCATGACAACTACTTTAGATACTTCATGTTCGGAAAATACAACGGTTTTGTCAGCAAGGCGAGGGTTTCTGCATGCATGTATTTTCTAGTTTAATATATGTGTTGATGTTAGTACTCCACAAATACCGGAAATGAAAAAAGCAACTAGGTCAAAGTCAACGTTTTCAAACGATTTGGAGGCTATATTTTGGAAACTTTGGCACTAGCGCTTTTTTTTAAAAAGAAACACATTTTATTAAATAATGCACGAGGATTTACACGCGGGATTCGAAGTTTGACGGGCATACAAGCCAGGGGCCGGTTGTTCAAAGGTGGGTTAGCGCTAACCCTGGGTTAACCTGTTGTTTTAGTTTCTGTATTTCTGCACGTTTGTTTATTTCAAAACTTCAGAGAAGTAAACTTCTATCGATCCAGACAACATCTCTGAAGAAATATTTCCAAATTTATAGACAAGCTGTCAGGAAGTTTGCTTTGAATTTTAAGTTAACCTAGGGTTAAGCTAACCCAGCTTTGAACCTACTGTTTTTAGAAACGACGCTAGGTCCACAGTTTTATTACTGGTGCACAGGTTAATATATAACCTCCAAATTTGGCATGCGTACGAATTTTGACCTACTCTTTACACTTTTGGTATTTATAGAGTGCTAGCAACAATTTTAAATATACTTAAAACGAAAGTCTTCTTGAACCAACCTGCTCGCCATTGGGTCCCTGTTTCCCACGCTTCCCATTCACTCCAGGTACACCCTGAGAATAAAAAACAAAAACATCAACCACTTTAGTAGAACTTGTAAATCTGATGTTTCCGATCAAACTGCACTTTCAAATTGACAAAAAACTTCATCAAGATAATGAATTGTCCATTTATGTGTTTCTAAGTAACAAAACAACATTTGGGAATTTGTGAATGTATTTTTTTCAGAAAACCCGTTTTTTCAGAAAGCGGTGACTAGTGATGTTAGTTTTTACTTACAGAGGGACCTTCTTCTCCTCTGACACCCGGGTGACCAATACGACCTATATCACCCTGTAAGGAAAGGCATTTCAAAATATTCTCAACGAAGAAAGGAAAGTCATGGGAATGTACACTCTTTCCTGTAGTGCAATAAATGCAAAAAAGTGCAATACAATATCTTTAATTTGATAAATTACAGTAGAAAAACAAAAATTAAAAGTTAGATCAAAACTTGTACCTACCGGAGGACCAAAAGCCCCTGGAAGTCCAGTCAGGCCAATAAGTCCAAATTGAGCCTAAATAAAAAGAAATATGTTTGCAAAAGCGTTCAAGTGTTAGTAAGTTGACCGAAAGAAGAAATGCAGATATTTGAACACCTAAAAGTTTCCTTTGTGTACTTGAAAAAACTAAAAATCTCGCGATTGTCTTCACTTACGAGTGGCGCACTGTCTCCAGGCTCACCCTGGGGTCCTTCTTCACCTTTATCTCCCTACAGAAATGAAAATAAAAGAAGTTAACTTCCCCCAAAGTACAAAAAAGCTTTTATAGAGATTTTATTTCGAGACAAAGTTAAAATTTCTAGACTTGTTCCTAAATAATAAGATACAACTGATTCTAGATCGTTTCGTCTTGGAACAAATAAACAATGCGTGAAAATCATGTCGAAAACTTTGCATTCATTGTAAAATCAATGAATCAGTCATAAAAAATAACGATATTGATGTATTTTATTTCTTGTCCTTACTATCGGTCCAGAAATTCCAGTGTCACCCAGATTTCCTCTGCCGCCATTGTCTCCCTAAAATAAAAGCCCACATCATTCACTATGAAATCGCCATAATTTTAAAAGTTCTTTCAAACCAGATAAACTAATCTTTTACGTCGTAAATATGTTTATCTTGCCATCAAACTGCGTTTTTATTTTTTCTAACCTTATCGCCTGGTTTTCCAAATGCTCCTTCGCTACCGCTATCACCACGAGTTCCCTATGTGAATAATAGAAATAATTATCACTTGAGAAACTTATAAAACGTACGGTGGGTTTATCCGTTAATATCCAGCGACGTACCCTGTGTCCTCGATACCCTTTAGGTCCCGTAGCTCCTTGACCACCAGGAGGACCCTAGGGAAAAACACATCATCACAAGGACATCAACTATTTCTTTCCTAATTATGTATGTCTATTTGCAAGACATACAAATCTATTTTTAAAACAGTTCGTCCGGTAAAAATATCTTGTGTAGATTTTCCGGCAGCCGAGCAGAAAGCAGATTTTTGCGATTACATTCACCTCGTTAAGCATGAATGCTATGCGAATGGCGGACTAAACCAATAAGGAAGCAGAGAAAAATCAATAGTAAAATATACTAACCATACGTCCTCTTTCACCTCGCGTTCCAGAAAGTCCAGGAAGACCAGGCTCGCCCTAGAAAAGCAGGAGCGGTCTTGAATCGGAAGAACTAGTGTTATTGAAAATAGCATTTCAGCAGAACTGCCAGACGATTCTTTTTCAGACTGTTCAGACACAAACCATGGAAGTTTATGATAGAAAATATATTAATACCTCGAACGGTCAGTGTATGTAGAGACGATAACAGAAAGCTGCAGAGTGAGAAAGATACAAATCTTCCCGACGAAGGACCTTCGCCTTCGTTCACTTTTTAGTTAATTATTCCAGGTAGTAGTATCATCCTCACACCGTAGCTGTCTATTAATAATGCATGCTACAACAGTCCCAATACTACCAATTAGCCGCGAATGTACTGGTGATAAACTTTCATACCTGATCACCAGCATATCCAGGCAATCCGCGACCTCCAGATATACCAGCATCACCCTTGAAAATGAAATGGTACGCGACATTTGACATAACACCTGACATCTTTGAACAAGGAATGTTGAAATGGGATGTTCATGGGTATCATAGTTGCTAGTATCATACTTTAAATTACCTTAGTCCCACGTGATCCTGTCTCCCCATGCCCTCCATATGCACCAGAGGGTCCCTAAAATACAGAAAAAATTTACTGATAATAAATGTAGTTCTTCTGCATTACATCACCATAAATCCAAACTGCACTTTATTTATCAACTTACAGGAACTCCAGGTTTACCAGCTGGACCAAACATTCCTGCAAGACCTTTACGTCCCTACAAATGAACAATGATTTAGAACTAACTTTGTGTAGAAAGAACATCAAAAGCGTGCAATAAATATTCTATTAAAGGAACATATGCAGCCATTCCAAGTCAGTCAAGGAAAATTTGAGCGAGTTATGTGAGAAAGTAAATAATCCATTATGTAATGAAACATTAAAAAACTTCCTACCGTTGGTCCTAATTTCCCTGGACCACCCAGAATTCCTGGAATACCTTGTGCGCCCTGCAAAATTCAGAGAAATACTATAAAAAATATAAATTTTTCTCTAAGCAGAGAAATTTTCCTTTAGAAAATAAAAGCCACTGGCATGCCATTTTGCATGCGAATATATTATCCGTAAAATAAATTTTGATTAATTCTTGATTAATTCTGAAAGTGCTGGTGAAGACATCTTAGTTAACACAATCGTTAACACAATCGAGATATTTTGGATCACTTTACAGTCAATAAACGCATGCAGTAAAGATCATTAGATCATAGAAGATCTCAAAAGTAGGATTCTTGGACAAATACAGTAGAATCCCGCTAACTCAAACTCGCTTAACTAGAACTCCCCGCTAACTCGAACTAAATCCAATTTCCCCTGGATTTCATCCAATTTTTACAGAAATCTACTGCGGTTAACTCACTTAACTCGAACTCCTCGCTAACTCGAACAAATTTTCTTTTTCTCTTTAGTCAAATTTACCTGGTTAAATCGAAATATATTTTTGAGAGGTGGAAAGGGAAACCCCAAATGTCCAAAACGAAATCCAACACCGAGCCCGTTAACTCGACAATTTTTCATTTCCCTTGGGAGTTTGAGTTAGCGAGGTTCTACTGTATTGACATTTGTTGTGACCAGGGGCGGAACAAAGACTATCCTTTTCGGGGGGTGCAAAACAACTTTTTGCCGACAAAAGGGCGTGGCTAGCATGTTGTTAGAGCGTGGTCAAAACGAACCGTATTCATTTTTAAGTGATGTACAACGATGAAATCCGAGTAGTAAGATAATTTATTTTTAAAATAGGCGAAATAGTTCCATAAAATACATGGTATAAATTTCAAAAAACCACATCCAATCGTCATCAAACGACCAATTACAAACTAAACACGTCAGTTTCTCTCTCTTCCGTTTGCGTTTTTGCTTGCTACTGTCCATACTTTTAAATCATCTTCGTATTTCTCATTGTATATAAGACCGTTAGGTGTAATTTCTAAGACTTTTACTGGCTTTACAAAATTATGAAATGAAGCGCAGACGCATCAACAGTCAACACGCACATGTGCTTCGAGTTTCCTATGGTATCATATTTCACAAAATTGCAAGAAAATATAATACTATTAAATAGCGTATTAGCGTAATATTAATATTAATGTTCTTGGCCAATTTGGCTGAATGTTCGGAAAAGGGCCGAGCTTTCAGTCGACATATCCATCTTTTCGATCTCGCATTTTCTACAAATTTTCTACAAACAATCTCTCTCCAATCAGGTATTGCCTATTGGCTTGATCCGACGGACACGTCCCTGGTTGTGACAATAAAACCAATAATATTGTGGAACACTTCAGCACTGAAAAGCTGTGACGATTGAGCAGGTTTGAGGTCCCTATATGACACTCTTTTTGTCATTCGTTGTTAAATGCTTGTAATTGTAGGCAGCAATACAAAATGATTTAAAACCTTTTCTCCATTCTCGCCAGGATCACCCACAGGACCAGGTCCACCATTGACGCCCTAAATAACAAAATGGATGGAGTTACTTTTGTGCTATACCCCTTGAAATAATAGTCAGATGTTATATTCTGGAAAAACTGTCTCATCCAAGACACTGGACATACTGGATCACCATCACCACCAGGCAATCCTGACATTCCTTGCATTCCTCCATCACCCTGAGAAATACAAATCAAATCAATATTTTAGTAAATGAAGAAATATTTTCAAAAGTCAAAATTAACAGCACTGACAATGAACATCTTTATGTAGAAACTAAATTTCTATAACGTACACAGTACAAACATAGGAAGTCCTACAATAACTTTACTAGTCAATGTCAATATTGAGGGAGTTCATTACCTTTTTCCCTTTTGATCCAGGTAATCCTTGTATCCCCGTGTGTCCCAGGATACCCTATACGTCACATTACAATATGAAATCAGACCGCGACAACATTGAAAAACATATGTTTGCGATGTTACTCTGAGTGCATATCCACACCGGGCGAGCTTGAAAAATATGCCCGGCCACGGTGAGATTCGAACCTACGACCTTTGGAACACTAGCCCAATGCTCTTCCAACTGAGCTACGCGGTCAGGACGGTTCGAGTAAGTGATATTTCGGAACAGTATCTAGTTCCTTCAATACCAATGTGTTCTAGTAATATGAATTTTTCTGTGTTGGTGTTGTGTACTCAGGTGAATAATATGTTTGCGATGTTACTCTGAGTGCATATCCACACCGGGCGAGCTTTGGGCTCGCCATTTTTCAAGCTCGCCCGGTGTGGATATGCACTCAGAGTAACATCGCAAACATATTATTCACCTGAGTACACAACACCAACACAGAAAAATTGAAAAACTTATTTTCAGGTACATGAGCTAGAGAAAACCAGGGGTTCATATAAAGTTGTAATTCATCAAGGCGACTCGTCCGTCAATGTTCTTTTATAACATATCAGTAATGTTCTTTAATTAATAACGTCTTTATTTTTGTCTCCGTTAAGACATTAGCAAGCTGCTCCACTTACTGTTAAGGGTACTCCGGATTTTCGGAACACTAATAGAATCGACCCGAAAACGGTCACAAGACTATTCTGACTGTTCTGGCTGCCGCTACTTTTGAATACTGGCAGCCAGAACATCATGTGACCGTGTTCGGTTCGATTCTATCAGTGTTCCGAGAATATGGAGTACTCCGAACAGTAAACGGAGCATCCTGCTGGGTTGAACAATATGCATATACAGATAATATTCTCACTGGGAGTTTTCGCCAAACAATGTGAAAGATTATTGAAGCATGAACAAAAAATTCATGGGAATAATGGAAATCAGATAAAAACCTCGAGCAATATAACATCGTTTGACGTTATGAGACTGCGCGCAGGCTACGAGAAATAAGGATTTCTCGAGAAATACGTGTCTTTCTCGCCACAAAGACACATACGCTTGGGCCTTGGGTGCAGCAATTTTTGAAACCCACCCTCCTCCCGCTGTCGACAGCGACATGCGCGTTACTTCGCTGAAAAATTTTCATCCTCATTTTTTAAGAAGTTTAATATTGAAGTTTTTAAACTTATTAAAATAACCTACCGAAACGCCTGGTTTTCCAGGTTTTCCTGGCATTCCTGGGGAACCTGCAATACCCTGAATACAAGATGCAAAAATGGATAAGCTATCATTCTTTAGTCGTCTTTCCTCAGTCAGGGTGCGATAATTCAACTTTTTCAGTCGTATCTAACTGGTACTCCAAGCTTAAGACTTAAGGTGTACTTAGTCTTTAAAATACATAAAGTACATAAAGAACAGGTATTCATTCAGTAACTTGAAACTACGAGTTAGAACAAGGAACACAACTGCAAAATACAAACACTACAATCCACTCTAACATTCCTTAGTCCCATCAGTCCAATATAATTTTTCATGCCAGACTTACACATATACCTAATTAATCAATTAATGACGGTTTTGAATACCTTGAGCTTGGAAAGGTCATATGTTACCAGCAAAAAGTAAGTACGCAGATAGCAAAATAATAATTGAAAAAATAAGAATCAGACTGCAATATTTTCGGTACGTAAGTACCATGAATTAATATCGAACCTAGCATTAGTATTCATATTTTTTGAATATTTACAAGGGTATACATGTGACCCAGATATCTTCTCATTAACTACTCTTATTAATTACACTAATTAATTATTTTACTTAGTTATTTTAATTAATTAATCATAAATTTCACAATTGGATAGAATTTGCACTTACAATGAGACCACGTGGTCCACGATCACCAGCTCCTCCTAATGTTCCAGCTAATCCCTAAACATGGTGAGAAAAAAGATATTAGTGAAAGTATGAAGGAAAGGATACGGCACCAAATCCACTGAGAACACAAAATACACAGAGAAATGTTTGAAATGCTTACAGTTTCTCCAATGTCCCCTTGACGTCCCATGTCTCCACGTTTTCCCTATGAAATATATTAAACATTTTTACTTCATTCTTCGGAACTTTATTTCACAATAATTCAAAGAAAGCTGGACTTACTTCCTCGCCGTTTTCTCCATCTTCACCTTTTTCACCTAGAGGTCCCTACAAAATTGTCGCATAATATTGAACATTACGTTATTCCCCCTTTTCCGGAAGTACGTCATCTTGGGTATAGAGCCTCGTTTTCGTGATTGGGACGTGATAACAAATCTCTATAGCCAAAGTGACGTACTTTCCACATGGGTGTATTGAATACACAAACTGTAACAGTTATTAAATGAGATTAATAAAGAGAGAAAGAATTACCAAGTCGACGTTTTTTATCATTCTTCAGTGGCTACATTTTTACATGAAATATGATAAGAAAACCATACTGAAATCATACCTTATCACCCATTACTCCCTTGATTCCTTTGATTCCTGCTTCACCTGGAGGACCCTAAAGAAGCATAATTAACAAAGTAGTGTCTCTAGGTGTTTCCTTCACGGGAATTTCATGTCTTTTAGTTCTTTTCAACACTGATATCATACTATCGTGACGTTCTAGCAAGAACTTACGATACAGCGGATTCGAAAACTTGGAAGTCTGTAGTCTCTTGAACGTCGTTTAAAATGTTGTTTCTAGATGTATATTCTATGTCAACATTATGACCGTAGTAACACACCCTTTCGGGAAGTGTTCAGTCCTGGCCATACAGCTTCGTTTTCGTGATTGAAATATTAAAGTTTTTTATCCTGTTGCGGGTGACAGATTTACGAAATCATGCAGTTGCAATATATAGTCTGAGAGATCTTTACATACTTATAGGTCATCAGTGACGAGATAAAGGACTCCAAAACCAATATCTCTATAGTCAAGGCTCAGAACTTTCCGGAAGGGTGTATTGGGGTAACCTGTTGCGATATTTCTAAGCGTTTTTATTGTAATTTTATATGTAATGTGCTCGAACTTGGAATTCTTCCTTTTGATAAAATCTATCTCCTTCATTTAGGTAAATTCATGTACCAGTTTCACTGTCGATTGTTACCGCACAATTTTGAAAATTTTTTTCAAAATATCAATCAGGTGCACAATTACTACACACGTAATTCAAAGTTATACTTTCTTCCTTTCTGTAGAACAAATATTAGGCAATTTTCTATCAGCTACCAAGGCGTTAAATTCTTTAACTCTCTCCCTCAGGATATCTGTGAAGCTTCATCCGTTTTTAGTTTTCGGAAAAAACTTAAAGAATATCTTTTTAATCTTTAACATATTATCTTCTAAATCCCTAACACCTAATTTCTATAATAGTGTTCATTATACCTATAAATATATCACCCTTGTTAAATCTCTCTTTCTGATATTACACGTAATGATCAACTGTACTTTGGACAACTAGTTCTAATTATTATATAAATTAACGGTCACTATAGGTAGATGCTTAATATGTAATTACACTAATGATTTCGGATTTGTCTCCTACTGTGCACGAATTATTCCGTTTATATGAATACTACGATTAAGGTAGCCCAAAATTAATAAGCCTTATGGTTTCTATTGGGCTCCCTTGCCAAGTATAATGTATATTTATTCCTTCTTTTGTATGATATTATTTTTTTATGGCTAAAATAAATTTGATTTGATTTGAAAAAAAAAAAAAAAAAATCAATGGATATTTCGCAACCAGAGTAGCAAACGAAAACCAGTGGGCTCTATATATGTATGGAGCGAGAACTCGAGCCCAAAAAGTGAAGCTAAAATTAAAGAGCTATTGGGCGTCAGTTCCAGTTCCTTCTATTGTTTTTGTCCTGCCTCCTCCGCAGGCCCTCGTTGTGTCATGGGAAGGTCACGATTTCGAGAGTGCCTGCGGAATCTTGTAAAATGAATAAATGTTGTTTTGAACCTGCTTCGTTAAAGAAGGCAGTTTTATTCGTGTATCGTTGATGTGGACAACAAACCTTATCGTTAAAAAATGCTTCCTTCCACGTCCTAAGAGTCGCCAGTTTAATTTACAAGTTTCACGCCGCTTTTTTATATCTGTTTATATTCAAGATTATGTAGAAATTTACTTGCTGACGTGACGCCGGCGCCATTTTTTTTTACAAGATTCCGCAGGCCCTCGCCAGATCGTGACCTTCCCATGACGCAACGAGGGCCTGCGGAGGAGGCAGGTTTTTGTCTGCGCAGTTAACACGAAGCTGGCAAGGAATGTGCTGAAATTTCATATTTTTACATCGATTTAAATAATAACACTATGGTTTTATGAACTGATAACTTGATCAGCGTCATGTGGTCCGTTAGAAAAAGCTGGAATTAGCTGGGCAAATGGTATAAAAGCTGTTTGCAACCTTCACAGCTATTGGACGTCAATGGCCGCCATCTTGCCTTCACTTTTCTCATAGGCCGAATGACTGAAGTTCACGCTCCAGGTATATATATAAGCTCAGTGACGAAAACATGTCCAATATACAATAATACTACAGCCAACAAGAGAAACTCACCTGTTGTCCTGGTAGTCCATTCTCTCCACTTAGACCTCGTTCACCTTGTTCACCCTGATTAAAGTAAGTAAACGTGATTTTTCTCTTTTTAAAATTGACCTACGTAGTCGAAAACGTATGATGACTAAGGCCATCGTAATATGCGATGTTTAAAACTGCGTGGCAATTCATCGTTTGCGACAATGTCATGGGACTGCACGCAGGGTGGGAATTCATTGCAGAAAACCAACTTTCACTTAACAGAAGTATTGTCGGAACCTCTTGAGATACGTTGTTATTCACATGGCTTGTTATTAAAAGCGAGATTATAATAGAATAAAAAAAATAAAGAGACATAGAATATTTCTACAGATCTTACAGGTACGCCAATAAAACCAGGTTGTCCTGCATCACCAGCATGACCCTTCATACCCTGCAATCCAAATGATTTATGATGAATAGAATAAATTTATTATTTTTTGGATAATATCGATTGTAATTTCACGTCCAGAGAGCACGAAAACCAAAGTTTATGAAGCACAATCCAGTGGCGGCGCCAGCCTTTTAAAAGTGGGGGGGATTTTCGAGCGGCAAAGGCGCGAGGCACTTTTCAATCTGGAGTCCCTGAAATACGATTTCCTGCATTTTCAGGGTAAGATTATACAGAATTCCGAAGATTATAAAGTGAACAAATCACACGATATTTTCATGATTATATACGTATATATAAAAACTATGACTTTACTTTGATGGACAGCTGCCTAAAGGAATTGCTACTTCCAGGAAAATTGAAGTCAACATAATTTTATATTTAAATATATTAAGTTATTAACCCATTATGGTGGGTTTCCTTCGGCGGTCGAAATCAGCGCCTGTAATATGCTAATGGACTGAATACCGCATATAAGAAATAATGAAATGGTCTTTTGTCAAAAGTAAATCTTTTAATACCGGTTTTTATTCACATAACTGGACTGATGTCACAAACGTACCCCCCCCCCCCCATTTTTCTCACCGGATTTGGACAAATTAGAAAATTGACCTTGAAGAGAACTGGGGGAGGGGGGACGTGTCCTCCCCAGTCCTCCCCGTGGCGCCGCCACTGGCACAATCCTAAAGGCAGGTTTACACTGTCAAGTTTCTGTGATCACAGTATAGGTATTGTGTATTTTGTATTGGTAAATTCTATGTTTTGAAGAATTTGCAAGAAATGTTTGAGGGAACTGTGTTAAACACCATGTCAGTTGACTCAAACATTTCATACAAATCCTTCAATACGTAGACGACATTACCTAATATTTCCTACTGTCATCACATAAACTTTCATAGTGCAAACCAGCCTTACCCCATGGACATGAAATATACTGCTTTTTTCAACATGTAGTTAAATGTACTTCTTAACAAGTGTTAATTCTGTAATTTTTCTAAATTTTTCTCACCTTTCCTCCTTGCCCACCAAGGAAACCTTGTGCTCCCGCGGAACCTTGCGGCCCCTATACAAAACAAACACACATACTAGAATTGGGGAAACACGTTATAACGTGTTGATAGTACTCAGGGCCGTATGAAGCTCTTTTCGATTGGGGGGGGGGGGCTGAAAGCGAGATCCGAAGGCCCGAGGAAATTTTTAAATTTAGAGTCTCTGAAATGCCATTTCCTGGACTTTGGGGGAAGATTTGACAGAACTTTGATGGTCAGAAAACAGCGTTTTAGTATGTCGAAATTTACAATTTAGTAGTACTAAAGTAGGCGAAGGCGTATTTAATTAACTATATATTGGATAAGTTCCACGAAAGTATGGGTAATATCTTCATTCTTGGCAGTTTGTCATGGATTAAATGATAAAGGTCTGCATGATTTTGAAAAAAGAATGATTATTAGCAAATTATTGGGGGGGGGGGGCTGCAATCCCCCCCAGCCTCCCGGTTGCTACGGCCCTGGTACTTTTGGAGTTACAACCTAACAATCACAAAGATGTTTGATAGTTGTAGATCTCACCGGCGCTCCTTTCGGCCCAAGTTGCCCTTTAATTCCAGCATATCCCTTTGTGCCCTGTAGGAAGAGAGAATTCGAAAATAGAGATTACATAATATCCTAGATTATGTATTTTTACAGTAAACTGCACTATACACAGTGGTGTTCAATAATCTGAAGTTGTTCCTATAACATATTTTCTTCAGCATTTTATAAAAACAATCGTACAGCATAAAATTTAATCATCATTGCAGTAGTCAATAAAGACTCACCTTCACACCAAGTGATCCTGGAGTACCGTTATCTCCTGGCGGTCCCTACATAATAGTAATCACTGTTATAGCTGATGCTTGACGCTAAATGTGATTGGCTGATTCGTTGTCACGTGGCTTTAGATAAAAGCAAAGAATCCCGCCGGGTAACAAATGATAAATCGTTGCCCACTCCGACCGCCAAGTTACACAAATACCGAAAGTTTAGTAGTTTACCAAAAAAAAAGAGTTTTCCAGTATCTAATACAGAAGGAAAATCCCAAACAGGCAACAGGAAATCGAAGTTCATTTATTATTAAAATCGTTTGCATTAAAGCATTTTCATTCATGAAGCGAAATTGATTTGTAAAAGTTGTTTACTTGAGAACATTGAGATTCTCATGAAAACATTCCTGCGCATTCACACACGATGCAGAATTGAAAACAGGTGCTTACGTCACATAATTTTCAAACAATGAATATCCCACGTGCACTGCGCATTCCTGAAATCCTATGCACAAAACATGCATGACGTAAGCAGTTCTATTCCCGGTATGGAAACGAACAAATTTTCTTATCATTTCAAATTCGTGTGGTGTGAACCCAGTCTTAAATTGAATTTTGTTTCATGTTTCGATAACTTACCACCTCTCCAGCTTTGCCATCGTTACCAGGGCGACCAAGACGACCTTTTGATCCCTACATTACCAGAAGGTCGTAGGTTGGAAAATGCGTCTACTACATACGGTAGATTTTTCTACTTTATGGACATGAATATATTCATTTGAAGTGTTTCCAAAATCACCATGCTCTTTATACTCACCCGTCTTCCAGATTTCCCAGGAGGACCAACTTTACCATATCTTCCCTATTAGTAAAAATGATATAAATTACTTCATGCATCAAAAGCTCACCTATTAGTGTTGCTCGTAAGGCATAACTGTAAAGGTCCGTGATTGTGAAATTCCGTGATAAGTGTTAGGTTTTTTTCTACTTTGTGAAGTAGATTCATTCAGAAGAATATTTGCGACAAAGGTATATGGCTATCAAAGTCGTGGTTCACTGAATTTCACCAGTGAGCAGGAGAAAAATTTCAGCAACATGTCAGTTTTGTAATCGGGCATTAAAGATACAGATAATTCAATTATCCTTTCAAAGTCATAAACCTCACCAGCGCAAAAACCACAATAGAAGCTAGTGCACATGTAACCAAAAATAAGGAAAAATGCATGTTTATGTTATCCAATTATTACTAAAAAAATTGTTTGTTAATTATTTTCAATAAAATCCGCATTCAAATGTATATAGAATTGGCCAGGGTCGTGCTCAGAGGTCGAGGTTTTGCGCTTGTGAGCCTTAACCTTCCAAAGAAAACGATAATTAAATTAGTTTTTTACATCAAGATTTGATTTTAGACATTCTTCGTTCCCTGAAACTCACCAGCACAAAATATCTCGGATATCTTTATCTCGAACTTACATACTCCAAATTACATTAAAATTTTTTATGATCATGGCACCAAATCATTACGTAGTTACCCTAGAACCTTTTCTTCCATTCATGCCAAGAACTCCACGATTTCCAATCTTTCCCTGTTGACAGAAAAACATGGCTCCAATATACAGAGTTCAATCGAAAATTATTTTGATTCGATAGAAAGCTGCCCTGCGAGTCACAGAGGCCACCCAGAGAAGGAACGGCAAGAGCCGCGTTTCAAATACTACCTCAATGCTCTGCAGTAAATGCTCTCACCTTCTCACCCATTTCGCCATCAACACCAACAAATCCGCGAGAACCTTGAATTCCCTAAAATGAATCAAACTAACCATCTTACAGACAGAACTAAAATTAGCAAGAAATAAAAAGTTATATATATATTTGAATTGTTACCCTTTCGCCAACACCACCTTCAGGACCCGCTAAACCTGGATCACCTTGGATTCCCTGGATGGAACAAATATAGAAACTATTAAATGTACAGGGCAGTACAGAATTTTGTTTGTCGCTGGGAAATTATAAAAAATTGACACGTGAGTGCATCAGTGTGAAAAGCGGAGATGAATGACGCAAGCGTTGACGCAAGATCGGCCTTGATAATTGTTGTTAAACCTCATCGAATAATTTAGGGTGTCAGTAAATCAGAGCATACTAGGCTTAGTAGATAATCCTTTAATTCATCAATTACAACGTTTCGGAGTAAAAATGGTGCGATAGAAAATCCAAAATTGTTGTTAAAAGATTTTTTATCATAGCATTTTTTAAACCTGAAGATGGAGTTATATACTACCTTAATAAAACCAATAATTATTATGTTTTTTCAAATAAAACTCTATAAAGTTATCTTAATTACCATCTTCCCCAGTGCACCTTTGACGCCATAAACACCAGGTGATCCAACATCGCCCTGGAACAGGAATAAAAATTGCATATTGCAAGACTGATCCTGGAAGATGAACCTGAACAAACTTGGAAACATTGTTGTAGAAACCTTTAAAGTGCCTATGACACGAAGTTTCACCCCAAAGGTTTATGGTTGCATTGTAAAGATCACTTAAAATGACTTAATAATTTCTTTCGTAGAATTTTGGCAAGTTGCTCCCTTTTCAAGATATTCAACTTTGTTTCATATGCAAATATCACCGGTGTGACATCACATCACATAATGAGTTTTCAGAAAAGTAAGCTAAAGTATAGTTTTCTTGACGAATACGTATCTAAAAAACTTAAAAATTGCCCTTGTATATGTATTAATTTCATAACTGGTAATTAACCCTATGTATTTGTTTGTAAACATATTTTATCAAGGTAAAATATTGCGTTTTCAAAATGTCATTATGCGATGTGATGTCACACCGGTGATATTTGCATATGAAACAAAGTTGAATATCTTGCAAAGGAAGCAAGTTACCAAAATTCTATAAAATAAATTATTAAGTCATTCTAAGTGTTCTTTACAATGCAATCATAAACATTTGGGGTGAAATTTCGTGTCATAGGCACTTTAAAAATTTCGATGTTTTCCCTTTCTCCGGAACAGTGTTGAGAAAAGAAAAGTTGATTTGGTGGTAGCAAAATGTTTCTGAGCAATTTCAGAAACGTGACTAAAAAAATCAGACGACGGGCTTAGTAAATGATGTTAGAAATCCGGTAGCCTGTGCACATCCTGTAGTACGGGTAATACAGGATGTGAACAGGCTAGAAATCCGGCTACCGCCAGGTTTAACATTGTTGTTAAAAAGTTTCTATATAGTACCTGTTTCAAACCTGAAGATGAAGTTATATTCCGAAACGTTGAAATTTTAATAAAATTATTATTCACTACATTGAATTGTTAAAATGCGGTTTAAGGTGGATTTCCACTTACAGAGAAATATTTCGCTTGATTTCGTTTGAATTGTGACCATCCGAATAAATCAATTCTACTTCACCGCTCACAATTCAAAAGAAATTGAGCGAAAAATTACGCAAATTATTGTAAATGTAATCCAACTTTAGAGACAGTTTCGTTATACAAGCTTGGGGGCAAAATACAGAAGTATTTGGTTTTCCATGTATGTTTTTTTTGTAGCAATAATGTTTGTCCAGTCATCATTTTCTACTTCCTAATATTCAAGATATACCACGTTACGAAATAAGTCTAAATACCATTGCTCCTTTACTGCCCATAGGACCTTTAGGACCATCATTACCATCTTCGCCCTAAAACAACACAAGGAACATGGTGAGCACATGAGGAAGTAAAAACTTGTGGCAAAAACCCAAAACAATGAAAACATGCACCTACTAAATAAATCTTACCCGTTTGCCTTTCAATCCTGATGAGCCCACAGAACCTTTGAATCCCTAACATTTAAATAAATACAAATCAATTCATAATAATCTTGTCAACGTAAAATATTTTTATTGATCAATATGGGACAATTAAACCCCTATCAAACGAGAGGTGATGAGAGTTAAAGAGCGAGGGTTTGTATATGAGCGTATAGTTTCTACTGTCATGCCCGGGTCAAACGACGACAATAGTTCAATGAGAATTGATGATAACTGACTGGATATTGATCAACGAAACGAGTAAGAACTCTCGTCAACACTAATCAAAATTTGAACCAGCTCAAAGTGGACGAGAGTTGATGAGAGTGCACGTGAGTCGACGAGAGTTGGCGATCAAATGATCCAGGACTTAGGGAGAGCCATAAGTGTGAATACTTCCCGTTTTGAATCTTAATTTTCCGCCTGCAGATCAGCAAAACCTGATTTACCTGTAAAGCAGTTGAAGAAGCAGGGCCTGTTGCACCAGTAGGACCTGGGTCACCCTGGAGAATAAAATAATTAAAAGTTAAATAAGCAATTAAACCAACAGTCGTTTGGGTTCAAACTACCTGAAACACTCTAGAAGATTGTCAGGTAGTCCAAACATAAGCCAGCTTATTGTATAGGGTACTAATTACACTGCCCCCACGTTTGAAGTAAAATTCTTGGTTCCTGTTGTTTTTCTCGGGGGTTTTATTTTCTACCCTTCTATATTCAATGTTCAGACGGTTTTGAGAACAAAATCGTCGGGATCCCGTGTAGGTAAGGCAGTCTTCAACAAGGCAGTCTTCAACAAGGCAGTCTTCAACAAGGCAGTCTTCAACAAGGCAGTCTTCAAGGCAGTCTTCAACAAGGCAGTCTTCAACAAGACAGTCTCCAACAAGGCAGTCTTCAACAAGACAGTCTTCAACAAGGCAGTCTTCAACAAGGAAGTCTTCAACAAGGCAGTCTTCAACAAAGAAGTCTTCAACAAGGCAGTCTTCAACAAGACAGTCTTCAACAAGACAGTCTTCAACAAGACAGTCTTCAACAAGGCAGTCTTCAACAAGACAGTCTTCACCAAAGAAGTCTTCAACAAGGCAGTCTTCAACAAGGCAGTCTTCAACAAGGCAGTCTTCAACAAGACAGTCTTCAACGAGGCAGTCTTCCACAAGGCAGTCTTCAAAAAGACAGTCTTCAACAAAGAAGTCTTTAACAAGGCAGTCTTCAACAAAGAAGTCTTCAACAAGGCAGTCTTCAACAAAGAAGTCTTCAACAAGGCAGTCTTCAACAAGACAGTCTTCAACAAGGCAGTCTTCAACAAGACAGTCTTCAACAAGGCAGTCTTCAACAAGGCAGTCTTCAACAAAGAAGTCTTCAACAAGGCAGTCTTCAACAAAGAAGTCTTCAACAAGGCAGTCTTCAACAAAGAAGTCTTCAACAAGGCAGTCTTTAACAAGACAGTCTTCAACAAGACAGTCTTCAACAAGGCAGTCTTCAACAAGGCAGTCTTCAACAAGACAGTCTTCAACAAGGCAGTCTTCAACAAGACAGTCTTCAACAAGGCAGTCTTCAACAAGGCAGTCTTCAACAAAGAAGTCTTCAATAAGGCAGTCTTCAACAAGGCAGTCTTTAACAAGGCAGTCTTCAACAAGGCAGTCTTCAACAAAGAAGTCTTCAACAAGGCAGTCTTCAACAAGGCAGTCTTCAACAAGGCAGTCTTCAACAAAGAAGTCTTAAAACAAGGCAGTCTTCAACAAGGCAGTCTTCAACGAGGCAGTCTCCAACAAGGCAGTCTTCAACAAGGCAGTCTTCAACAAGACAGTCTTCAACAAGGCAGTCTTCAACAAGGAAGTCTTCAACAAGACAGTCTTCAACAAGGCAGTCTTCAACAAAGAAGTCTTCAACAAGGCAGTCTTCAACAAGGCAGTCTTCAACAAAGAAGTCTTCAATAAGGCAGTCTTCAACAAGGCAGTCTTTAACAAGGCAGTCTTCAACAAGGCAGTCTTCAACAAGGAAGTCTTCAACAAGGCAGTCTTCAACAAGGCAGTCTTCAACAAGGCAGTCTTCAACAAGGCAGTCTTCAACAAGGAAGTCTTCAACAAGGCAGTCTTCAACAAAGAAGTCTTCAACAAGGCAGTCTTCAACAAAGAAGTCTTCAACAAGGCAGTCTTTAACAAGACAGTCTTCAACAAGACAGTCTTCAACAAGGCAGTCTTCAACAAGGCAGTCTTCAACAAGACAGTCTTCAACAAGGCAGTCTTCAACAAGACAGTCTTCAACAAGGCAGTCTTCAACAAGGCAGTCTTCAACAAGGCAGTCTTCAACAAGGCAGTCTTCAACAAGACAGTCTTCAACAAGGCAGTCTTCAACAAGGCAGTCTTCAACAAGACAGTCTTCAACAAGGCAGTCTTCAACAAGACAGTCTTCAACAAGGCAGTCTTCAACAAGGCAGTCTTCAACAAAGAAGTCTTCAATAAGGCAGTCTTCAACAAGGCAGTCTTTAACAAGGCAGTCTTCAACAAGGCAGTCTTCAACAAAGCAGTCTTCAACAAGGCAGTCTTCAACAAGGCAGTCTTCAACAAGGCAGTCTTCAACAAGGCAGTCTTCAACAAGGCAGTCTTCAACAAAGAAGTCTTCAACAAGGCAGTCTTCAACAAGACAGTCTTCAACAAGGCAGTTTTCAACAAGACAGTCTTCAACAAGGCAGTCTTCAACAAGACAGTCTTCAACAAGACAGTCTTCAACAAGGCAGTCTTCAACAAGGCAGTCTTCAACAAGGAAGTCTTCAACAAAGCAGTCTTCAACAAGGCAGTCTTCAACAAGACAGTCTTCAACAAGGCAGTCTTCAACAAAGCAGTCTTCAACAAGGCAGTCTTCAATAAACTGTTGTGGTTTATGACTGAACTGTATGATCTCAAACGTGAGGGCCCAGTTTAGGTAATTATATTAATTCCATAATAAGCTGTCGTAGTTTGCACCTGAACTATCTGGAAAAAATACCTCAAACATGTGAACTATTCTAACTCCACACATAATTTCACACGTGAAATAATACATTTAGAGCAATCCATCAAAATATAAAACAACAAATGCTCACCACAGATCCTTTAGGTCCAGGTTTTCCAATATTGCCTTTTTTCCCATCAGCCCCTGGTGGCCGATCAAAACCTGCTAAACCAGGTGAACCGGTTTCTCCTTGAAAACCACGTGATCCAGGAGGTCCAGTCCGTCCTGGATATCCCTTGACGCCCCGCCTACCCATCACGCCACTTGTCCCTGGTTCTCCTAAAGGACCCTACATAATTACATGAAATGTGAACTAAGTTCTCAAAATGTACCACCATGTGTCTCATAATATATCATCAGGGGCCAGTTGTTCCAAGCACGATTAGTGCAAATCCTGGATTAAAATTTAACCAGGTGTTTTGATTTGTGTATTTGTGCATACATTACCAAACTTCAGAAAATAAAACCTCTATTGAACCTGAAAGGATTTCTGGAAAAATACTTCCAAATTTAGAAATAATCGGTTGGGAAATTTGGTTTGACGTTTTTCCTTAACCCAGGATTAAACTAACCGGCTTTCGAACAACCGGTCTCAGGTGTGTTGGAAATATCCACTTCATAAAAAATACGCACAGCACTCTCACTAATGAAATATTTCCAAACTTACTTTTGGTCCATCATTTCCTTCGGCGCCTTTCTTTCCTCGGATTCCAATTATCCCTTGAGGTCCGTGTTTCCCAGCAGGTCCTGGAATACCTCGAGCTCCCTGAAACACAAACATCACGACAGTAAGTTAAATAGAAATTTGTTTCAGTATTTTATTCGACTCTATTTGGGCACACCAAGTTACTATTTCTAGATTGTGAAGGAATAGAAGGATAACAAATATATATAGTTGTACCTTTTGACATGTCTGTATGTCATTTTGATGTTTTTCAATTTTGTTAATAATATTACTAGTTCTCGTGCCAAGCGGGAATCGTAAATTATAAGGATTCTTCCCGCATCATGCTTTCCGGAAGCTTACTGTTATCCAGTCCACATTCCTTTTCTTTTCTTTCGTTATATATATTTCAATTTCACATTCATTTATTTTCTTTTCTTTTCTTTTATTTGTTATATATTTCAATTTCACATTCATTTCTTTTCTTTTATTTCATCATATATTTCAATTGCGCGCCAAACAAAGTGTGCAAACTCAAGTAAAAACTGCTTTCAAGTTAAACGTTTCTCATACGTGCGTAAACACGCACGGAAAAGTACTTTAAATCCATTTCAAAGTTTCTTATGAAATAATTAAATTAAATGAATAAAAGCACAGCGCTTAATTTTGTGTGTGTGATTTAACGAATATATGATGAGGCAATTAGTACTTATATAAAATTTAGAGAATCTCAGATTTAAACTTTTCCGTGAAACGTGTGAAAAACGCTTTGAAAGCAGCCTTTAGTGGGTTTTAAAAATGTGAAACTGCTATTCCTATACAAATCTATTATGATAGACTTAAAGTTACTTTTTAAACCCTGAACTAAAATGAAGAAAACACAAGTCAGAACAGTGAATTGAAATATCACCTTTTGTCCAGTTTTTCCTCGTTTCCCTGGTGATCCAGTTGCTCCCTTTAAAAAAATAGTATAAATGTAAATAAGTAACAGCATTGACAACAATATTTCTGCAGAATACAACCCACTCAACTTAAGCATCGGTCAAACGAGGATGAGAGTTGCAAATCTCGCTCGCGTTTGATCCCCAACTGTGATGGACTTTCGTGCACTCTCACTAACTTTGAACTGGTTCAAATTTTGATGAGAGTTTTTGACGCGCATTACTATCCAATCAGCTCTCATCAACTCACATGCAACTATTCTTCTCGTTTGATCGATACATGAGAGTTGAGAAAATCTCTCATCCGTGTTTGCCGGGGTTTTACAGAAGATATTTATATAATAGAAGACAACTACTGTACTTACAGACTGTCCACGTTCCCCATGGATTCCTGGTATGCCAGTTCCTCCTTTTTGTCCCTAATGAACGAAATTAGAACCAGTAGTTGAAGTGATGTTACGTTTAGCCTAATACTTTCACACAGGAAATGGTGGCCATAGGTTTGGACAGTCACTATTCCCTATCCAAAGCTGTCATATTCACAACTGTCATATTCATGTACTTGTAAGTGTTCACAAACCTTATGTCCTTTTCTCCCAAATCCAGCAGATTTTCCTGCGTCACCTCTCGCACCCTAAAAAACAAAATTTCTCCAAACGTCAAAACGGTCAGACATTCAGAAATAGTGAATAATTACAATGCAGTAATGACAGATATAGGAAAAAGATTACAAGATATAACTATAATTATTTTTCTGGAAATTTGTTCTCAAGAAATAAATAAGTTCATCATCAAGACAAAATTAACCTTACCTTATCACCTGATGCCCCTGGTGTTCCAGGATTTCCATTTGAACCTAGCTTTCCCTAGAAATATTTTGAATTTAGAATTAACTCTTGTTGAACTTTTACGATACAGAAAATTTTAATGAATGAGGGCATGACCAGACGTTCTGCTCCTTAGTGTTCTATACCTCTAAAGCCTGTTTTCAACGAATTTGTTTGCGCAAGGCAACTCTTTCCTTTGTCTACTCCCCCAGCGCGTCAGCAAAAGCAATGTCGGCAAAGGAAAATGTCGCTTCGGGTAATTCGTCTAGTGGAAAACGGGCTTAATGGTAGACGGCGACGTCAACTGGGTGATTGAGGTTATGAATATCAATTTTGCTCAGTACACACTCGCGTTTAAGTACTTTGTTGTCCTAGCTCACTCCCATTCTGATTTGTTCAGTTTCAAAATCCAAACATCAAGGTACGAAATGCATCATCTTTCCAAGGAGCAAGATAGGGTTTCTTTAATTAAATGTGTGAATCATCAATTTTCTTCTTGATGCGATATTCACGCTACCATATATACACACAAACGCACAAGTTGTTACAAATCTGTTCACAAGATATGAACAAGTGGTGTTCGTACTGCTTGTTCCGAGTTGTTGTATAACAAGCTTGGAACAAGCTGTTAACAACTTGTATAACAAGCTTGATGACATTATCAAGACTTGTTACAAGATTGTTCTAAAACGTCTGGTACAGTACAGTCATGATATAGCAAGAATGTTACAAGATTTTTCTAAAACGTGTGGTACAGTCATGATATAACAAGAATGTTACAAGGCTGTTCTAAAAGGTCTGGTACAGTCATGATATAACAAGAATGTTACAAGGTTTACGACACAAGTTGTAACAATATTGTTATGTATGACTGTATCAGACTTGTTGGAACAACCTTGCAACAAGTGACAAGTCTGACAATATCAAAAGCAGTGTGAACACAACTTGTTGACGGCTTGTTGGCAAACTTGCTAAAAGATGTGGAATTTTTGCAGTTGTATAAAACCACTGACTATATGGGGGAGAATATAAAAGAAGCAGAGTAATACGTACAATAGAGCCACGATTTCCAGGTTCACCTCGTTTTCCAGGACGACCTGGTGTTCCCTGTAAGTTGACAATAAAAAAAAAGCTTTTGACATGGATAACTGTTCATTGGCGCTTATCTGGTAGAGAGGTTAATAATATACAAAACAGTATAATTTAAAACATATACTTCTTTAACGCAGACTTAAATTAAAATATAGTGTTAGAAGTATATATAGTCATGGGCGTACGGGAAGGAAAAAATTAGGGGGGCGGAAAGAAATTTGCCCGACTTTTTCGGATTGTGCCCGAGTTGTCAAAAAAAATTTTCCGGAAAACTTTCAAAAATTGTTGTCGACGGGGGGAGGGGGGAGGAGTGATTACGAAAAATTCCTATTAGATAGCAATATTTCCCACAAAATTGACAGAACTTCCCACAAAATTGACAGAATTTGTCCCATTTATTTTTATAAGCCAATATTGCCCGACTGTGAAGCGAATATTGCCCGAATGGCTTTGTTTGCCCAACAAACTGGGGGGCTACCGCCCCCCCCGCCCGGTACGCCCATCTATATAGTTGCATATAGTTGCGGACGTTCATGTGTTCATAAGTTGCAGAATGTTTGTGGCAGTCAACTCTTGCAAAGCGTGGACGTTTTTTATACAGTAAGCTATTCGTGACTTCAAAACATAACACACTCAGCAACAAACAGTCTAGCAAAATCTGTCAATGAAACCTTACTGTTTCTCCTTTGCTCGCAGCACGTCCAGGACCTCCTGAAGCTCCGGGAGCACCCTAGGTGAGAAAGACGGGTAAAGTGTTAATCATTATCATAAAAATTGTTGCGACATGATGATATTGGCATTACAAAATAATACAGTAACTGGACGTCTGTTCTGATTGGCAACTCTGGTATTCTTCTTGTGTACTATTGACAAAAAGTTCTAGTTCTACGTTTATATAACCAAAATTATACTCACTCTAACTCCCTGCCGACCTTTGATACCAGGTTGACCAACGTTCTGAACAGAATGATACGTACTTTAAATAATAACTTTAAAATGTTATAATAGTACTTAAAAAATTCATTAATAATTCACGAGGAAAATACAAAAGAAATGAATGTTTAATCAATGTTTGTAAATCGGATAAAGATTTCTCCTGATTTACATCAACTTCAGCTTTGATTTTCTCGGCTTAGACAATGTTTCAGTTTTAAAATTACTTCGCCAATGAACTCATAAGATGGGTCGTTTTTTAAGCACGTTAAAACATTCGCATCCGATCTTTGTCTGATACACAAACTCTCGCCTGTATATCAGATAAAGATCGGCTGCTCATGTTTTAAACAGTACTTTAAAAACTCATTAATAATTCATGATAAAAAGCTTAAACTTTAGCTTAAATTTCTTGGCTTAGATAAACGATAATTTTCAAAATTACTTTGCCACTTAGCTCATCAAATGGGTTATTTTTAAGGAATTTGAAACTCTTACAGTCCGTGACTTATCAGATCTAAAACACTCGGCTGTCGCCTTGTGTTTTAAATATGATAAAACACCGAAAGTAGTGAAACATCTACCTATAGTTGGTAAGAAAATTAACCATTATTAAAGGAATACCGAATAGTCTTCCGTGCAGGATCGCGTCATCCATGCACGAGGGATGTCCCGAGACTTTCGGAAAGCGTAAAAATACTCGAGCTGCAGGCGAGTGTAATTTTACATTTTCCGAACGTGGAGCAACATCCCAATGCATGGATCACGCTATCCTGCTTGGAAAACCATTTGGTAATTGTTTTATAAATTAACTACAGTGTGAAACAATGACATTTTGAGAATCCCGCGAGAGATCCTGCACGGCTATTGACCAATCAAATTGCGTGTTTCACTGTAGTTATTATATAATTAGTTTTGAGTTATGAACGATTAAGGCCCGTTTACACTGTCTGCAATTTTTGCTGCGATTCTTAGTGCGATTTTGCTCTCGTGATGTATGTGAACGAGTAAATAAGTGAACATTCGTAACTCATCCACTCGTGCAACAAAAATTGCAAGTGTAAACAGACCTTTAGATAAATTACCGAATGATATACAGGGTGTCTAAAAAAATGTCCCCTGTCATATTTGGTGGTATTACTTCGCTATATTTAATCAAAGGTTCAATTTTTGCAGTGGTTTGAAAAAAAATCATATTATATTAATCGTAATGTTTATCTCACCAAAAGACTTAACCGTTCGGCTTCTAGAGATACTTAAGGTGGCGACACCAATTTTGCAACCTGTCCAAATTACAGAAATTAGGTTAAAAATAATGCAAACTTTGTAGAAGGATTTCTAAAGTTTCTGCCCACCTTTCTGCTCAAAAACAAAATGTTTTTATCTCTATTATTAAACTTTTGTTTCTTGTAGAAATTAATAAAAAAATATGAAAAATCCCTGGCAAATTGACAAAGGCAAAGCTAAGGTTGGGAAAATGCCTTAAATTTGCTGTTTTCCGTTCAATTTGTTCCATGAAAGAGGAAATGTTGGAATTTCAGCACTAGTATATAAGTCTTTCCCCTTTTCTGGGGATTGCTTCATTATCTTTACAGAAAATTAATTGACTTTGGCTACAACTAATTACAAGTTTTAGAAAAGATATGTAGCCATTTACCATTAAAATATTTTATTACGTTCCGTAATATGTTAAACCTAATATCCACAATTTGGACAAGTGGCAATATTGGTGTCGCCACCTTAAGTAACTCTAGAAGGTGAACGGTTAAATATTTTGGTGCGAAAAAATGCAAGGATTAACGTAATATGTTCATTGATAAAAAAAATTTAAAAATTTGAATATTCGATTACAGGTAACGATGAGTACCACAAAATATGATAGGGGGACATTCTTTTTGGGGACACCCTGTATAATGAACTAGAATATCGAAATACAAACCTGGGTAGTAGTCACCATTACTCGTCTTGGCTGACCATTTGAATCTTGACCCGCCATTTGTATAAACTGTATGGAAAACAAAGCTTTGAAGAGAAGTACACTATTCATAACGATTTAATAACATCCCTTATTTCCTCCAAAACAACCCTTTTATATGCCTTTTGAAGAAAACAATATCTAACGTCTCTCTGTAAAGAGAAGTTAAGGAATTGAAGGAATTGTGAATGTCAAGTGGCGGACACTGGCAACCTCCACCAAATAATTTCTGAAAGCCTTTGAATGATACCATGAAAGCATTGTTAGGTACAAATTAAGTTAAATATCTCATGAACTTTAAGGCATGCAAAAAAGTTTAAAGGACTATCATTTCGAGCTACAACAGCTGGTCGTATGTTGGCAATCTAATTCGCCCGCCTACAGATTTCGCAAAGTGTCCGCCCCTATGAATGTCGTCCCCACCGCCGTGAATGCTTGACTTTAACAGATTATCATATACTGATTGCGTCATATAAAGACTTAAAATGATACAGGGCATGATAAACTAAATCTTTCCAGATTTTCGAGTGTGAATTTTATACATTTATTAGACCTAGTCAGGAGCAGTTGCGAAAAATGTTAGATTATGTAATTTATTGTTGTAAAAGAAACTAAAAGGTTCACAAAATATAGTTTTCCCGCTTGAAAACAACAACTACACCGATAATGGCGGATCTAAATAACGTTCAACGAACGTATAGTCACGTGTCCGATGTACTGTATATATTAACTGTATTACGGTACTTTATGCTAATTTATGCTAAATAATATCAACCATATAAATATAGTTTAAACTTTAAACACTAAAAGTACTTATCTCAACAAAAAATGCAAGTATAGTCCCTCTGGCAGGAACCTACGACCCTGCGATTCTAGTGCTGCGCTCTAGAACAAACTGAGTCCAGTTGTCTAATTAAATCATGGCAGTATATATAAGGATACATTAAGGGTTAATATTAGGATTCGGGGATTGTGAGATATCCGAAATCCTGATATTTCTCCGATATAACACAATTTGATGTATCCAAAATTCTACTCACTATTGGTCCTGGAGCACCCTGAGGTCCCGCGATTCCGGCAGGACCAGCACGACCTGGACTTCCTGGTATGCCATTCCGACCCTCCAATCCCTGGTGGTAATTAAAATTAAATGTTAAAAATGCGCAACTTTCGTCCCCGATAATCGAATAGGCCATTTCCGAATTACGATCAAATACCCACAGAAAATAGCTTGACAACGAGGTTTCGTGTTGAATTATAATGTTTATATAGACAATTAGTACTAAGCCTCGATTTGGCGTCATTGTTCTTGACAACTAGAGTGTAATTCGAAAATGTTCTATTGACTGTGTACGAAATCCAAGCTATTAAACGTGCTTAGCTGACAAGTCACTGAAGGTGTGCGCATGGTTAACAGAGACGTGTTTTGTAGGGTTGGTGGAAGCTTTTTGATGAATGATCATTAGTTAACCTTGGTATACGAATAAAAATGTACAGTAAGGTTGTTGGGATATACCATACAGACATTCCAACTGTAAATAATACAATAAGATCATATATTGTTTACGTTCTGGGGAAAGAAGAAGCTAGAACTTTGTACCACCACCTACACTTACATATTGTCCACCGACTCCTCTATTTCCTGGCAGTCCTGGTAGTCCCTTTTTACCCTAAAAAGATATAGCATTATTTCAAGATCATTCAAAGAACTAAACAATATAAAAAGACTAAATGCAAACTGCGGTTGGTTGTTGAAATGGTGAGGCTATAGAGGTCATGCTGGTCGTGCTGGGCATAAGTAAAACATTTTTAATCCTAAAAATAATTCCCCCAAAATTTGAAAAATGATTCAAAGTACACTTGCGTGACTTCCTAAGCAGCTATGGAACGAAGCAGGCACTGAGATTCATTATTATTCCTACCTTTGGTCCAGGAGGACCTGGATCGCCAGAAGGACCTTTCATCTAAAATTTAGATTGAGAATTTGAGTAAAGAAAGTGTGTTGTAACAATGATAGTAAAGCAATGTATGTCACCGGTTAACGACCGGCACAATTTTTAATATCGCCGGTCAAATTTGTATGACGCCTGTCCTCTTACGCCTATCATAGTAGTCAGTCACTCTGGGAAGAAGATTTTTGAGATGTTGTGGACCCATGCAATATTATGTCAGTTTCTATGTGTTATATTTACGATTTTCTTTCCGTGTTTGAATCTTACGCCGTATTGCCGCCAGCCAAACGATTTCGCCGAGAATGCTTCTTCGAAAATCAAGCGACAACGTTTCGTGTATGTGAGATTAGTTACACCAAAGCGTCTCAATCTCGCCTCGTGGGAGTTGAGCAGTCAGAAACTCGGTTGACCTGCAGTCGCAAATAAAACTCTGCGATCATCGTGAATAGCGTATCATGAAACGTTATTTTGAGCCCTGTCTGTAATATTGGTACCAGTGAATGACGGAGACGCCAGAATGATAATGAAAATGCGGTGGATCAGACTTAATGTTTTTGAATTCATGTACGTGACTTACCAACTGTAGTCTTGGCGGTGCTTCAGCTGAAAGGGAAATGTAAAAAAATAAAATTTTAATAAAGACAAAAATGACAGATTAGTTTCATATTTTCTGACACTGCAGATTAAACGAAAAAGTCTTTGTCTCGAGCGGGATTCGCATCTTCAGGTATCTATACCTGACATTGTTCCAAAAAGCCTGAAGATAGTCAAAGTAATTGCCGTGTTTAAAAAAGGATTGTGAAGACAATTAAATAATTATAGACCCTTCTATCAGTTTTTAATAAAATCATGGAGAAGCTTATGTATAAAAGATTGTATAGTTACATGAACGAAAAGCAGATTTTATACTCTAAATAATTTGGATTTCGTGCTTCATGTTCCACTAACCATGCCCTGATTAGTATAATCGAAAAAATCCAGGTAAGCAATAGAAAATCGCAATTTTGCTTGTGGTATATTTATAGATTTATCCAAAGCTTTTGATACAATTGATCATAGTATTTTGTTGAAAAAACTCGAATTTTATGGCATCTGAGGACTACCTAACGAGTGGTTTCTCTCCTATTTATCAAACAGGAAACAATTTGTTTGCGTTGATAATATACCTTCTGAAGAATTGTTTATTTCATGTGGTGTCCCTCAGGGATCAGTTCTTGGTCCATTATTATTCCTTATTTACATAAATGATTTTAGTTCATGCTTTAAAATGTTAGATTTTCATCTTTTTGCAGATAATGCAAATTTATTCTATAAAGATATTGATTCGAATTTCCAAACTGATCTAAACAATGAGCTAGATAAGGTTTATGAAGGGCTTTAATAAAGTACTTAGGAGTAATGATAGATTCCAATCTTAGTTGGAAAAGTCGTATTAACTACACTGTCAAAAAAGTTTAAAAAAATTGGTATCATTTCAAAACTTCGTTATTATGTAAGTCTATTTACTCTCAAAAATCTGTATTATGCTCTAATCTATCCTTTTCTGACATATGGAATTTTGGTATGGAGGATTACATAGCAGACTACTCTCCAGCCATTGGTTGTTTTACAAAATAAAAAGCAGTGCGTATTATAACTAATTCTAGTTTTCAAGAACATGCCAGTCCGATTTTTAAAGATTTGAATTTCATTAAATTATGTGATTTGGATAATTTGGTGTCCTTTCAAATTGCCTTATTCATGTACAAATTTTATAATCAGCTGCTACCGCCTATTTTTACTAATTTCTTCTCCACTGTAGCTAGTCAACATGACTATGGTACTATAGATTATCTTCCATGCAAAGCAGTCATTTTCGCTCCCTAAAGCTAAAACTACGGAATTTTTAATATCAGATTCCAAGGAGCTCAAATATGGAATTCTATTGCTGATAATTTTAAATCTCTTTCTCTGAATAAATTTAAACTGAAAGTTAAAGAAAAATTTCTTGACAGTTATTGATTTTCTAACATAAGAACTCCTTTGCAAGGTTATTAATTTCTCGTTGTTGCAATTTCCTTTAGGCTTTATTATTCATTAATTTTGTTTGTTGTCGTTTGTCTTTGTTTTCGGTGTGAAGTTGTTTTTGAAAAGATTGATCTGTTGAAATAAAATGACTTCCAGATTTTCTAGCCCTATGGTTATTTTGGCAGTGCTCGTTAGAAATGTAGAATAAATTCAGTATGTGCAAGTAATGTATTACTTTCTTTGAGTAATAAAGGATTGTTGTTGTTATACCGCCTCTCTACCCATTTAACTATCGAGTCAACAGGGATTCGTATGAGCTTCAGATATGGATCCGGGCCTCGGAAAGAGCATTTACAGCGTTTAACCGGCTCGGGAAAACTCTTGACGTTTTAGCGGTTAAATGCATCTAAACTGCAATCTATCCTAAAATGAACCTCAACCGAAGCTCAGATTATATGTCCACAAACCTTTACAAGCTTCTTGTGATATCTGATGAACATATTGAATGATAGCAGGGAGAGAGGTCGCAAGAAAAACGTGTTCAGCGCTGGATTCGGAGGCAATTTGCTCTAAGGCTGCAACATTTGGGTTCTTGGAAGCAGCAATTGGGTAAACAGCAACACTAGCTCTCTTGAGAGACATCGCTTCTCTGAAAATCTTTGTGTTGTCTCCAGGTAAAACACCATCTGTAATTAAGATTAAACCCTAGACATGGAAAAGAAACGTATATTGTGTAAAAGCCAGAATTAAAGGATCCTATGCCATGGTCATTATAATACAGTGATTACAAATGAAGAAGAAATGCTTTAAAACACGGTCTCAATCACTCAATCTTGAGGTTTGTTTTACTGGGGTTGCAACGGATTATCAAATTGCTAATGGCCATGTTGGACGAGACAATTATTTTTGTACATTATTGCCTCGTGTCACACCCCTTGATTCAGTGTGGCTTTGAAAAATTACTTTGTAGATCGCAGAATCTATTTTTCGCAATGATGGATGACAAGTTTCAACGTTTCACGACACCAATGAAACTTGTCTCACTCTGATTTGGAAATTCAGCTATAATCACGACCAGCCTGGAATCAGGAGACATTCTTTCATAATTCACAACGAGTATAACATAATGATCGCATTGCAGGTTGCAAAATAGATTGATTACTCGTCTGACATCTCACTGCATCATGCAAGATTATTTTTCAGAAATAAATTGCATTCAGCAAGTTGAAGTCAAGATTGCCTCGTGTAACATGGCCTTAAATGGTGATGGCAATGAAATTCAAGTCTGTTTTGATAGAAAGAACTCATTAAACTGCGAAAAAAGTTATTTTACAACTTTTCTTTACCTCTGTCATTCTTGAGATATTTTAGTTTGTTTGATATGCTAATGAAATAAATTTATGTCACTTTTTGTGTTTGTTGGTGTCATGTACTCAGGTGAATATGATATTTGTGGTGTTACTCTGAGTGTGCATCCACACCGGGCAAGCTGAAAAGTTTGCCTGACCAAGTTGGGAATCGAACCCGCGACCTTTGTGATACTAGCCCAATGCTCTACCAACCGAGCTACGAGGTAAAGTCTGTTCGAGTTCGTCAAGTCACTGTTCAGAGTAGTTTAAATAATTCGTCAAGCCCCAATTCGTCAAGCCACTGTTAAAAAATAATACGATTAAATCATTCAAATCTATATCGATGGATCCAGTGATTAATCTTATCATGGCTATAGTTAAAAGTATTTTTATGATCCATCATGATCTTACATACAAAATTATGAGTATTTTAAGAGTCTTGTGGACTGTCAAAAATATCCCGTTTGTGATTTTATTTATCTATCAAATAATCTAAAATATCTTCTTACCAAAGAAATTATAAAACATTGGTACAATGACTTATTCTACAGTTTAAGGAGTCTACGGAGTCTTTCAACGCAAAATAAAATTTTGTTGCCAGCACCCTTTCAACCACTTACTTTGACAGCGTTTGCTCTTGATCCACCAGCTGTGGTAAATAGTTGTCTATATGCTCGTTGTAATGCAAGGTAAGCTGCACTATTTGTGTTGCCATTGTAAGAAACTCTATCTATAGCTCGGAGGATGTTTCCTTCTTTGTTTAAAATATCTAGTAAAAAAGTAAGAGAAAAATAAAATGTTGAAGGGTTTTTGTAGAATGTAGATGGGAATTTCGAGTTTCTAGGAAATATTGTTGTCAAACAAAAGTTTCCCAAAAAGTTCAGAAACATCTGCTGTTTCCAATGTGGCAAGTGAGACTTTTTGTTTAGCTAAAGTTTCCTAATAAAAAATTTCATTTGTTTCTTGTATATATTGTGGCATGGATTAGTATCCTTTTAGGTAAACAGTTACTCTGGGTGCCTACAACTACAGAGCTCTCTAGAATCCTGGAGAGTAAACAGTTTACTAAGCTTTCTTCTAGTAAAATATAATTTTACTGAGGAGTATTTAGAAGAGAGTTATAATATTATTTACCTTTATACTTTTTAAATTCAAAATGAGTTTTGACAATATCACTGTAGGAAAGAAGAGCAATTTCAGTTTGAGAATCGCCAACATTTAACGCCTTCACAAGATCTTTAGTAAACATTTTCACTTTACGGAAATCTGTTTCTCCAAGGTTTCTTGACGATTCCATCACGATCGCAAGATCCAGTGGCTTTTCACACACTGCAATAGATATAACAGCATTGCAATACAGAATAAAAAATCTTTAAACTTTGGGATTGAGCGTTGGCCAATCCGCATACATAGGAAACCGCAGTTGCTGAGATTCCATCGTGAGCTTGAAAAGACAAGCAGAAAACTCCAACGTTTCTACGAGTAAACTGAAAGCTGAAGTAACCTCATCTAAAACCTTCGCTCGAAGCATCGGAATGTATTTTTCAGTACGAGGCTGAGCACCTCTAATAAGGGACGGGTCATTGTTTATGGCGGGGGCATAGCATATTTTGAGTGAGTGAAATATTGGGTAAATAAAAAACAAAACAACTCAAGAGTTGGGTAATGAAAATTATTGTCATTTCCAAAGCATAGCTCACTCAAATATTGAAGACTAAAAAGCAATGTCAACAGTCATATACAATATGTAAATTAATCTTGATTATTTTTCGATGGTGTCTCCAAAGAAAGTACATGTGCTGACAACATGAAACTTTAGACTGCAGGAAATTGCACAAGCAGTTATCAAACTCATGCCACAGAAGTGGTAAAGGACATGTGTGACAATTGAATGGTATCTTTTTGTATCGTTTTTGGACAGGGGTGGTTATTTATCTTTTAATTGATATTTGAGGTTGGTTAATTTTTTTTTACTTTTCAATGGTGGAGTCATCAAAAATTCTAACAAGAAAAACATTTCTCTTCGGTGCCACCCCTCACCATCAATAATGACCATTCCCTAGCGATTTCCTATACGTGCATGATTTGATCAATATGAAGAGGTCATTGACATATACTTGTGAACTTTCACGTCCTTTTTAGCATGATGTACAATGCACTTTATTTATCATTTTTAGATTTGTATTAACTATAGTTAACAGAAATTAATCTTCAGAAAATTGACGACGCAAATTGAACCAGCAACTTGTGGCAAGGGTACAAGTCGTTTCAATTTTGTTTGCAACTCACAACGCTATATTTCATTGCGACGCCAGTTCCAAACTAGGAGAGACTACACGAAACAATATTGCTTTCAATAAAAATTCTGTCGGGTAACATGACCTTTAATACATACGCACCCCATGAAGGATTCAAGCACGTCTTGCGACATCCATTATAACAACATTTGGAAAATCCAGGACATTCATAATCACGTTTACAAGTATTTTTCTGAGTCAAACAATTCGTTTTCAACGGTCGCGGACATTGGCCTGATTTATCTATATACAGTTTGGAAAAATTAAATATTATAAATTATTCAACTTTAATTTCTATTTATCGTGATTAAATATTCAACTTATTTCAAGTTAGGATACATTGGTAGCATAGTAAATGTGCCTTGCGACCAAGTTCCGATTCCTGAAAGACGATTGTTGAAATAGGCTATCTGCATGTTAATTGGATGGGTATTGTAGATGGAAATTGTAGATGGAAATTGTCGAGTGGAAATTTATATACATTTATTAGACCTAACCAGGACAACCACTGGAAAAAAAGTGAAATCCATACAACGAAATTTGCAATTGCTGAATTGCACCACTAAATCCATAGTATATCCATACTATTTCGATACTATATTCATACTATGGAAATATACAATTATTATGGATAACCAAAATCCATTCTATTTCCAATAAAGGTCCATACAATTTCCATTCTATGTCCTTCTATGGATTTTCAAAATTTTTTCCAGTGAACTGTGAAAAATGCAAGTACAGGTCTCTAGCAGGAATCGAACCTGCGGTCCTACCGACTTTTCGACAATTTCCATCTACAATATCCATCCAATATCAGTTATTCATTGAAGTGAGATGCCACAAAAATCTTGATATCTGTTAATTTGTCTATTCGTTTTATCCCGGATGTTATTGGGCAGCCGGTGTCATAGCGAAGAATACAATTTGCGGGATTGTTTGTGGGATGCAACTGCCTAAAGAATAAGAATAAATTTCGACGTGTTGAGCGCAGGCCCTTTGTCCGGACTTGACTTCTCGTTTCCAGTTGTTGCGACAAGTCTGGAACAAGTTGTAACACAAGGTTGTTGTCAAAGCTGATATCAGAATGTGTTCACACTTCTCGTTTCCAGTTGTTGCGACAAGTCTGGAACAAGTTGTAACACAAGGTTGTTGTCAAAGCTGATATCAGAATGTGTTCACACTTCTCGTTTCCAGTTGTTGCGACAAGTCTGGAACAAGTTGTAACACAAGGTTGTTGTCAAAGCTGATATCAGAATGTGTTCACACTTCTCGTTTCCAGTTGTTGCGACAAGTCTGGAACAAGTTGTAACACAAGGTTGTTGCTACAGATCTGGACAAAACAAGTTGTAACACAAGGTTGTTGTCAAAGCTGATATCAGGATGTGTTCCCACAGCTCGTTTCCAGTTGTTGCGACAAGTCTGGAACAAGTTGTAATCACCTTGTTATACAAGGTTGATGACAGTAACAGACTTGCTACAAGTTGTTCCAACAAGACTAATACAGTATCTTTGTAACAAGTTGCTACGAGCTTGTCATCAACTTGTTATTAACAACGTGTTACATGCAGACGATATCAGACTGGTTGGAACAACTTCTTGCGAGTCTGTTGGCCTCATCAACCTTGTCACAAGATGATAACAACTTATTCCAGATTTGTCAACAACTGGGAATGTAATGTAGTGTTGATATTAACCTCATTATTCAAATAGTTAAAAACATAAGTAAAGGGGTGTGGTTTTGATAACAGATCAAGGACAGGGACATTATTCAGGACAGGATTGACAAGTTGTAACGGTTCATATAACAAAATAAATAAATACATAAAGCATTATACGGAACAAGCAATGCATGCGAACACATTTTGTTGACAAGCTGTGAGCTATTTACGCGAGTAATTGCAACATACTGTCCCTAAACCACGTAGCATATTAGTTAGCCAACCTCACCTGAACAAAGTTTCTGAGTGATGGTAGTTATAAGTGGTGATAAATTTTCAAAAAATATTGATTTACTAGATTGTTCTGAACTAGAAGCAATATCCTTCAGATATTGAGAGGATGATACAGGTCCACTTCCCATAGTCCAGATATCCACTGATCTCTTTAACGATGTTGAAATTTCTTTTAACTTATTCAAACTGCTGGATGGTGGGCCAGCACTTAGAATAATCAGAACCCCAGGAACGCCCTAGAATGAAACAAAAATGTAAAATAGATTCTACCACTTCAAACTTGAGATTCAGTGTCGCGCAGCCGCAGTGTAGATAAAGAAAATTGCAACTGACAACTACATAATTCTCTTATTCTCGGCTACTTTTCTCTCCTTTAAACTCAACTCATCCTGCAGAGCAGCCGAAATGTTGCACGGGGCCCGGGGCAAAACTTTCCCAGAGGCCCCTATGACGTCATAATTGTAAAACAGGAGAAGCGGTGTTTCTCGATATATTTCACTTCATTGCGGCACTGACGCAAATTATCTGTCACTGACGCATCTCGGATTTATACTCTCGCTTACGCAATCGTGTATGAAGATTATGTGGTACAGTATACACCACCACGTAGAACAGCCATATGTAGTTACCGAATCATTCGTGTTATTATTACGGTACTGTAGGTCGTCCCGTGATTTTCTCCTTCTGGATTATGTTGGGCAAGCGCATGGCTTCCAAGTTAGTATAGGATTGACTTCAACCTGCAGACATGCATGTTCGCAGCTTAGTACGTTAGATAACCTTGCTTACTATCAAGCTCATGTGGTACAAGACAATGATATTCGAGCGCACAGCCGTGGATGAAATGTCATGTAGCCAGGATGCTCACAATCAATGATCACAATGGAAGTGAGCTTTCATTGTATTATCGCTTATAAAAGTGATTAAAACATGCACAAAAACCAACCTGGCGTTTTCCTGCCGTGAGTGAAAATATATCAGATCGAACTTTTTCCAAGCCAAGATCAAGTCGCCTTTCTCCGTTCCGTGTTTTATCCAAGCTATTAATTTGCGTGAAAATTTTCTTTGCATCAAAATTATCTTTAAATTTCAGCAGGATTTTTGCAAATTTATCAAAGGTTACAATGGAAATTCTTGCGCCAGTTTCAGAAATACTAAATCCATTTGCAACTTCTTTCATAAAATCTTTCATTCGATGTAATTCCTCGTCACTCACTGAATACGATGTATCTACAAGGAATGCGATCTCTAATGCTCTGAAACAACCTAGAAATAAACATATAGTTGTAATAAATATATATCGTAGAATTAGGCAAACTACAGGGAGTATAAAAAGCTGCACATAGTATTTATTTTCACACGATAGAAATTACAGCAAAGCTGATGTGGTCGTGCATAAAAGTTCGCTGATAAATTGCAAATTCCGCAAAATTTGTGAATAGTTTATGCAAACATGGGTAGTTTGGGTTCTGCTATCATCTTTATCACTAAAATTATTTTGAAAAGAAAATTTTCGAGTGCAGGAGGGTTGTTTATAAATATTACTTTTAAAATGGCCTGCGCAAAAAGATGCATGGAAGGCTTAAAATGCAATTTGAATTCATTTGTAAAAAATGCTTGAAAAGCTATTAAAGTAAGGATATGGTCCTCATAGTTAATGAACAGAAACTTTTATTAATTTATAAATACTAAAGTTTAATCTGGTTATCCCAAACAACGGACAATTTAAGAAAGTTAAAAAAATTCACTATCCGGCGAATAGCGCTATCCAGCCTTATAGTTTCCATTTCCTCGTTATGTGAGCATCATAACGGAACTAAAGATGCTACCATACGTCACATCAAGATTGAAATAGAAATTAAACAAGCTTTATTATGGGTTCAAAATGGAACGTCATAATAGTTTACCTTGCTTGGGTGCCGTACATCTCCGATCACAGCCATTTTGACAACATTTTCTATCATCAGAACAATCTTTATCAACTTGACATTCTTCAAAACTATTGGCAGGACAATTTTCTGGAACTTTGGTGTAAGGACACTTGCCATTTTTGCCTACAAAACAAAAATGGAATTCAAAAACAGCAGGCGATGTATGTCAAAACAAAGTCAGTGAGTGATTAAGACCAACAATAGTTATACGATCAAATGCTTTCACCATCAAAACAGAGATGAAAGCTGCTATCGTCCGTAAGAGTATATTTACGTTTGTTGATGGTGACGCCTTTTTCTACTTTAAATCAACGAGGACGTTGACGAGTGTTTGGTTTGCATCAGTGAAGAAGCTAGCCATAGCAACAGGCAATGCTATGCAAATGTTTAAGAGGCAATTTTTTTCAATATCACGTATTTGCGATGAAATGTGTTCAAAACCTTTTAAATGCATCTGCCGGTTGAGAAACATAAAATAATAGTTAAAAATTGTAAATTAAAAACAATTATCAATGATGCTTTAAAATTGACGCCATATTTACAGCCATATAAGCAAAACTTACTGAACTTCAGACGTCATTTTCTCTTTGGCGTATCATCCAAAATCTCTTCATTTTAGCATTATTTTACAGATAAAGCACTAAACATACTTTTTAAGTTTGTTTGCCGATTGAGAAACGTATCGAAAAATAAAAATTTTGAATTTAGTCATAACCTCAAGTGGTATATTATACGCATTAGTTTTGAGCGCGTGTTTCGTGACATACAAAAAAATATCCTCTTAATCATTTGCATTATTCAAACGTTTAGAAGTGAATTGTCTTTAACGTATTTAGATGCAGGTTTATTAGCATAGCATGCTCAACTACTGGTAGTTGCCATTGCTAGCTTGCCAATGGGTTGCATTCGCCTCCAATCAGTGGCGGAAAACAAGTTTGGACATTATTTATTTTAGACACAAATGATCTCAGTTGAAAGCTTAGTCAAGCTAGTTGTCTGTGATAAAAATAAGATTACAGGCTTAAATAAGCGGTTGACTTTTCAAGATCCTGGGCACCGTGTTCGATGGAACAGAATGTTGAACGGTTTTTATAAACAAACACCCTTAAACTTACTTTTACAACTAGATGCAACGATGGATCGTGGAAGACGGCTTAACAAGTCAGTAATAGTTGGTGCAACTTTAAAATTCTCGTTAAGAGGAAAGCTGGAAATTCTTCTTATGGTCGATGTGTCTACATTTGACCCATATGCCACTCCGATAACATCCACTCCTAATGATCGTAATTGCTCAACGGAAGCATAGATCGCAGGTTTATTCGTAAAGTCAGATGCCACACCAACCACAATCAATTTCTTTGATGCACCTAAATACAATCAATTGCTACTAAGGATCAATCACAATCAGGGCCGTAGTTACACCCTCCCCTGAAAACATCGTTTCGGCAAAATAACGGTTTTATCGGCAAATCGTTTTCATGATCAGCGAAAATACTGGAGTGGCTCGGATTTAAAAGTAATAGTTATAACAAAAATTTTGATAAATTTATGAAAATATGACAGAAAAATTTTAAAAATTACGATACATGAACACGTAATTTCTTGTTCTTCCCACATTATGACGTCATACTGTGTATCTCCAGTATAACTGAACAGACAAGGACAAAATCTTATCTATTTGTTAACTAGTACACGAAGTTCTGCGAATAGAGGCTGATGCATTTTTCTAGTATTATCACGAGAGTCATGAAGAAGAGTAGCATTTTATTGCTAAGTTAAATTTCCTTCTTTAAATAAAGATTACTTCAACTATTATTACCTTGACGAACCCCACCACGAAGAGTAAATAAATCATTCGCGGCAGCTTGAAGTACAACATCCAATCTATTCTTGTCCCGTCCAGTGTTAACATAAGCTATACTATTGATCAGCTTCTTAAGTTCAGTCAAATCAAATTGTTGGTCAAACTTAACATAAACTTCAGCATCTTTATGATAAATCATTAAGCCAATATGGACATTCTCTGTTCCAGGCACAACGTAATCTAATGTTCTTTTGACGAAATCTCTGAGGTCTTCAAAATCGGCGAATGAATTAGATGGAATGGCAAAACCGATATCAACAGCATCACTGCAAGCTAGAATATAAGATATGTCATTAAACTTAGCAGTGGATGTGGAAACATTAGGGAATCCTGTTAATCACTTGATATTTATGATATATGTAAGATCGGTGGTACACTGATACTATATGGAAAAGGCAAACCAATTTTGCTGGGTGTTTGGACGGCATTTTGTAGTTGGGTTGCAAAGTCGTTCGTGTATTTCACCAGTATGAATTCAGGTGTTAAATTCCTGCAATATGCAGTTGTTGGATTATAATCTCGCCTCAGTTACATGCGAGAAGATTGTTTCCAGTTTGACCCATTGAACTATAAGTAAACTGGAACGCTAACTGCTATGATGAGGGCCTATGATTTGCTGAAGCCAAAATAGTTTTTCTGAGTTATGAGCAGAAATACTTGATCCCAAACGTTGGGCTATATATCGAACTGAAGCTATTGAAAATTGCTATTCGGTGTGGAAATTTCAAGACTTCAAGCGAAAAGAAAAATATTTTTAAAATACAAAAAAAACTGCCATTCGGCCAAAAAATGGAAAATTATCGGCAATTATTTTTGTAGTTTTTAAATATATTCCTTTTAGCTAAAGTCTTGAAATTTCAACACCAAAAAGCGTTTTTTTAATAGCTTCAGTTTCATATACAGCACAACGTTCAGTGTTAAGTATTTCTGCTCATAACTCAGAAAAACTAAAATACACTGGCTTCAATTCCCCACCCTGAGTTAGCCTTCGAGTTTACTTATATAGTTTGACCAAACGGTTTGACCAAACGCAACACGTTTCCTTCGGGATTCCTTCAGGGCTATCCAGGAATGGCGTATAAATAACTGGGCATTTTTTAAGAATTCGTCAGTGGGGGGGCCATCTACAAAAAGGGACCATACCATACCGAGTGTGGAGCAATGATAGATGGTTTGTTGGTAACAAAAAGTTTGGTGTGGTATCGCATTTAATAGTAGGGGGGGGGAGAACAGGCCGTAGGAAGCTCTTTTCGTTTGGGGGGGGGGCTGAAAGCGAGGGCCGAAGGCCCGAGGAAATTTTTAAATTTAGAGTCTCTGAAATGCCATTTCCTGGACTTTGGGGAAGATTTGAAAGATTTCTGATTGTCAGAAAACAGCGTTTTTAGTATGTGGAAATTTAGAATTCAGTAGTACTAAATGGACGAAGGTGTATTTAATTAACAATATATTGGATAAGTTGCAGGAAAGTATGGCTAATATCCTCATTCTTTGCAGTTTGTCATGGATTAAATAATAAAGGTCTGCATGATTTTAAAAAATGAATGATTATTAGTAAATTATTGGGGGCTGCAGCCCCCACCCCGGGCGCGATTGCTACGGCCCTGGAGAGGGTCTGGGGTTTTCTCCCCCAGAAAATTTTTGTATTTTTCTACCCCTATGACTGCAATTCCCTGCATTTTCTGAAACAGATTTTTGGATATACAGAATTACATTATGCTGTAGATAGACTGAACTTTCAGTTATGTACTTGCATAGTATGTTTATGTAGATACCACAACTTGGCCGTCACTTAGGGAGCCAGCTTGATAAACTTAGAGTTCCCGACTCCCACGAAGCGCGACCATGGTTGGCACAGAGCGGAAAAATTTTGAAAATTTTGCGTCTCTAAATCATCGGAAATGGCATTTTCAAAGTCTTCTATACGTCTTTTGTTTGGCCTTTTCATTAATTCGTTCATTATGATTTGTGAGTCTATGATATCCGCGAGTCAGGATGGATTATTACGAGAAATGTTATAGAAATATCGATTACAGATATTTGATTATATGTATATATGATTTCAAATACTTCTAGTATCGAAATCAAATTGTTTTTTTTTGGTGGGGGCCAAAATTATCCCCCCCTTATAAAACACATGGTTGAGGGCCTGTTGCCCCCTGCGGTCACTAACTTGTCCAACAACTCAAATCTATAGGGTCTGGGTAATGCAATCCACTGCCTGGGAAATGTTTAAAATCTAATAAGGTATTTATTAAACATAAAAGACAGGACATAAGATTCACAAAGCAAATTTCAGTCACTAGAATATCAAACCTCCCTTCTAAATTCCATGTTTTGCTTATATTTTAGAGAAAAGGGACTTTGACTGGGGGGGCCAAAATAGTTGAGTGGGGGGGCCACCATGGGGGCTGGGGGGGCCAAAGCCCCCCCAGTTATATAGTTAAAAAATGCCCTGACTCTGAGCAATTTTGCAAGACAACTAAACCGGGTAATGTCAATAATCCTTGACAGGTTAGTGTTCTTGACAGACGTGGTTTCTTTAACAAGGTTGGTAGCTGTAGTGGTCGATATTGCCTTAACTCGTAGTTCCTTGAGGCATTCTTCTGACTGATCTTCGGTTTCCTCTATTTTCTCTGACATTGGGTAACTCTGTGGAGACTGCTTTAGCCAGGTAGGGCAACAAGGGCAAATAATGTTAGCCAATCAGCGCGTTTGTTTACATTTTGCGTTCTTGACCAATCAGAATGCCTGAAATTCGAAACATGTAAACAAAAGGAGTGAGAAAATAACACCTTGTTCTACGCCCTCGGTGACATTCGATATTAATTTGTTTTCGCCAAAACTGACAAATTCTGATAAAGCATGCTTTCTTCTTTAATTTCCTCGGGGGTATTTTTAAAATTCGATCTAGAACGCGAAATATTTATGTTTGAATAACAGTGTTTCGACGCGCGTAAAATAGCAGACTCTCACTTGCACTATCTTTACACACACATAAAAAATTGGTAGATTTGGCAGTTTAAACTTATTTTCCCCACACCACAGCTGACATGTTTTTAAATATTACCTATCTGATCTCATCGATCTCATTTCGCATCGGAAATGCGTCACAACGATCCAGGACTGACAGGTACAATATCGCATGACTCATTACTGTACATTAAAAGTACATATCCAGTTGGCAAAATGGCGATTGTCTGACAGACCTCCGCGAAGGGCTTAATATTTTTGCTATAAACTGTTCACGAGGGTTTCGTCTAGTTGGTCGTCAATCGTCATCGGCTGCCTCACTTCTTGGTCGCTTTCGTCCTCTTCAAAGCAAGTCGGCGGAGCAAACAGCGTTAGTATTTGCTGTCTTTTTTTTAAATTTTTTTTATTAGTTTTACAATAAGAAATTGAAGGCACAGACAACAGGACTAATGAAGTCCTAAATTAAGTCCTGCCATAAGTCTTTCCAAGAGCTTCAACGTTGCTTTACAAACTGGGCTATCGCTGATGTTGGGCAGGATACATTTGATGTGGAACGAAGGTCCACAACCACGGAAAACGTTCCAAGTGGATTAACCTTTTTGCAGGCAGGCAAATCGCAAATCGTTGGAAATTTTAAAGTAAGATTTATATTTTATATTTGCAGATCATGATACATTTATAGTCAGTACGTCCTTGGAAATTGTTCCAAAATATGAGTGTGTTTCAAAGTTAAAATATTACTCATAATCTCTAGAACATGTTTGAATGTTTTGAATCACTGCAGTTTAGAATTAGCAGTCCTTTAACTCTTTTAAAGACAACAGAACTGGCAGCCATGGTACCTCATAACTATTTAGTGTACAATACCAGTCAATGTAATTAATTACTACCCCCCCCCCAGAAGTAGGCAGTTGTTACTTCTCAGCACTGTCACTATCTGTAAATATCTGTGTGTAAATATCTGGTTTTGTCTCAGTGACCCTGCTTTGCCCCACACTTTGGGATTTGAGCAGGCAGGGATTTATATTGTCTGGTATTGATACATAGTTTACCCTAATCAGAGGATTTTATTGAAAGATTTCCCTACCAATTCACTGCCTTAAAAGCATTATATTATTTGCTCTGTGTGTGTGTTACTTTAAGTGTACTCTGGTTCCAGAGGATCTTTGCGAGGCGAAAGAAACAAGATGCAAGAACGGAGAGCCTCTGGTCACATCAGGGCCGTATCACCAGGGCGCAGTAAGGCTTATATGTTGAAAAAAGTTCCAAATATCCAAAGAATAATTAATAATGACATTCTAAAAATTGTAAATATAGTTTTCTTTAGGAGGGCAGTTTCCCTCTCCTGCTCCCCCCCCCCTCCCCTGTGCTGTGTACAGCCTAGGGTCACTGTCCATTGAGAATCCCACTTCCACACTTGATTAGGTTCAGAATTTGAATTTCGCATGTGATTGCCCATTTGTAAAAATATGCCAAACTGGCTTGGGAAATAAACATTGCTGTAAGCTAATTATAGCCTGTATTAAAATATTCTATTAAACTCAACCAAGAATGTATTACATGTCCTGCAAAACTGATTAATGTTGATATGTTTATCTCCTGAGAAATTTAATACCTTTTCACCTGCAGGAGTATTAATATTCATGCTTGGTTGAGTTTACTATAATAGCTTGGGGCTTTTTAATTGGGGCTTCGGTGGCCAAGTGGTTAGCGCACTTGCCTGTCACCTCTGAGGCTGCAGGTTCAAGTCAGTGAGAATTTTCTCAATGCGACTCAAACCGCAACGCTCTGCTGAACGTCACAGGTTTTCCCCGGGTACTCCAGTTTCCTCCCACATGGAAAGTTGACAGGGTGGGTTGGGTAAAAAGGGCTCACAGTAATTGGCATATGCTGTTGTGGTGACCCGGCCCTAATTGGCAAAGCTAAATAGATAGATAGCTATAATTAGCTCACAGTAGTGTTTATTTCCCAAACAGGTTTGACATATTTTTACAAATGGCCAATCACATGTGAGATTCAAATTCTGAACCTATTCAAGTGTGGAAGTGGGATTTGCAATTAATATGATCAAGAGGCTTTCCATTCTCACCTCTTGTTTCTTTTACCTTGCAAAGAAACACGGTACACTTAAAAGTAACACACAGGCAGACCAAGTGCTGCAATTCAACTAAGGGCCTGTTTATATGCAGGAAGCCAGGCTGGCCTGCTTAGCGTGATAGGCAGGTGGGATGAATTTCTCTTGTGTTCATATGAGAAAATTTCATCCCGCTTGCTGGTTTTGACAGTTGTTCAAAATAGCTTGCGGCGGTATCTTTCATCCCAGCAACCGGGCTAGTCCGCTTGTGAGTGTTTATATGGAGAAATTTCCACCCCGGTAAGCGAGATCTCACCTCTTGTCAAGTGAGATCTCAGCAACCTGGCCAGCCCACTTGTGCAATAAATGCACAGCTTACCGGGCTGTCTCACTTAGCGGGCCAGCCCAGCTTCCATATAAACAGGCCCTAAGTACCAGTCAATATAAGTCCCCGCTTGCTTGAATCTAGGAAGTGTGTACTGTGGGGTTCATGGGGCAAAGCAGGGCCACTGAGACAAAGCCAGACATTTATACAATCCAGCAATTTTGATTATGCAGTGCTGGGAAATAAAAACTGCCTACTTCTGGGTTGGGGGAGGTGGTAATTTGCATTGACTGGTATTGTACACTGAATAGTTATGGGGTGCCATGGCTGCCAGTTCTGTTGTCTTTAAAACGACTGCTAATTCTAAACTGCAGTGATTCAAAACATTGTCCAAACTACATGTTCTGGAGATTATGAGTAATATTTTAACTTTGGCACACACTCATATTTTGGAACAACTCCAAGGACGGCTGACTATAAATGTATCAAGATCTGTAAATATAAAATATAAATCTTACCTGCGATTTGCCTGCCTGCGAAAAGATTAATCACTTGAAACGTTTTCCGTGGTTGTGGACCTTCGTTCCACATCGAATGCATCCTGCCCAACATCAGCGATTGCCCAGTTTGTGAAGCAACAACGTTGGCAAATGTTGAAGCTCTTGGAAGGTCTTCGAAAGACAGCAAATATTAACGCTGATTGCCCCGGCGACTTGCTTTGAAAAGGACGAAAGCGACCAAGAAAGTGAGGCAGCCGATGACGATTGACGACGAACCAGAAGACGAACAGAGCGAAACCCTCGTGAACAGTTTGTTAGCAAAAATATTAAGCCCTTCGCGAAGGTCTGTCAAACAATCGCCATTTTGCCAACCGGATATGTACTAAGTACAGTAATGAGTAAAGTGATATTGTACCTGTCAGTCGTGGATCGTTGTGACGCATTTCCGATGCGAAATGAGATCAGATAGGTAATATTTAAAAACATGTCACCTGTGGTATGGGGAAAATAAGTTTAAACTGCCAAATCTACCAATTTTTTGTGTGTGTGTGTAAAGATAGTGCAAGTGAGAGTCTGCTATTTTACGCGCGTCGAAACACTGTTATTCAAACATAAATATTTCGCGCAGGGGCGGATCTAGGGGTAGTCAGATTAGTCACGCGACTAACGTAAAAAAAAGGCATATAAAAAAATTTGGACTAAGGTTTTTGAATTTTTTCCCAGCGCAAACACTTCTCTTCATTTCTGATCACGCAATCAAAACTCTATCATACTCCAGCATATAAACTTCGATCAGTTTTTGCACATTGAGCCAGCGATTGATTAGTCAAACGATAAGTCAAATAAGCGGTATTCAAATGAAAATTGACTATTCTGCGTTTTAGTTCATATGATTTGATTGGTCCAATTTGCTCAGATTACACATTACAGGCATGTTGATTGGTCAGACCTATTTTGACTAACGATTGCGAAATTTTGACTATTTTGACTAATTCTGCAAATAGATAGCAGCTTCTGATTGGACAATTTGCGCAAAAGAGTTAAAGAACATCTCCTCTGATTGGCCTTCTATTCTAATCTTCAATTTGGAAGCATTGTGCACTTGGTAGCTTGTTGCAGTTCTGTACAATTTTACAAGAAAATTATTTCGTTTGTATAATTTTATTTACTATTATCGAAATGAACGACGTAGATTTCGAAAAGGTTAGATCGTTATTTGAAAGTGACGATAAGGAATGCTTACTGGTGTTCTGTGGAGAATATATTTTCAAGCAGATAAATTCGATGGATGCAAGAAAATTGTCTTGGCCGAAACTATCTAGCTGAGATGTGTTGATTTCTCGAATTCTCGTCGTCTATTTCAGGAGATTATAAAGAGGTGTATGGCAATAAGGTAAAGTGGATTGAATTTTGAACAATAAATCGTTGAATTGAACGTACGATTTGCATAATTATGCGAGGTTTATAGGTCCAAAGTTTTATATACTGCATACATATTCATTATGTGTATAAAATTAAAACACCTCAAGTGGCAGAAATTTGATCTCAAATATTTGATCATGTTGGATAAAAAATATTTATTGTGTACATGCTTTATAGAGTATTGATTGACTGATAATAGCTCTGCAAATGTACTTTATAAAGATAATAATAATATAATCTTTGGTTATATTTTTAGATCTGATATATGCAACTGGCAATTGCTTGTATAGCTCTGTTTCCTATAAGCATTGACAGGTACCAATGACCTAATTTGACCTTGATAGTTTAA